ATAATAATAATAATAATAATAATAATAATTTTTATTTATACCCCGCCCTCCTCAGCCAAGGCCGGGCTCAGATTAAGCCTCTAGAACATGGGTAGGCAAACTAAAGCCCGGGTATCCGGCCCAATCGCCTTCTAAATCGGAATCAGTGTGTTTTTACATGAGTACAATGGGTCCTTTTATTTAAAATGCATCTCTGGGTTATTTGTGGGGCCTGCCTGGTGTTTTTACATGAGTAGAATGTGTGCTTTTATTTAAAATGCATCTCTGGGTTATTTGTGGGGCATAGGAATTCGTTCTTTTTTCTTTTTTTCAAAATATTGTCTGGCCCACCACATGGTCTGAGGAACAGTGAACCAGCCCCCTGCTGAAAAAGTTTGCTGACCCCTGCTCTAGAATGAATGAAGCTTGGGAAATTGCAGACAAATAGGTCCAGGGGCTTTTTTGTGAGGGAAGTAAAATGGATTCACTTTCTTCTGCCATCCCTTATGGGAGGGATCTCTAATAAGTCTTATTATGTGAGGCTTTCTAGATCAGATCACCGCCTGCAGAGTTCTGAAAAGCTGTGGCGTGTGTGTCTGTGTGTTTGTGCAGACGCACGCATGTGTGGTATAGCAGAGCAACACAGGATTTAAAAACAAACTCTTAAAAAATCTAACTCAGGCGAGAGGAGCTACTGATGTCTCCCTTCAACTTAGGGGAAGGATACCCTCAAAGCACCTCTCTTTGCTTTGTTCCTTGGCATCCCATTCAGAGCCAATGTACACCCCTGATATATGCAAACACACAAGTCTGGTAAAATGGGAAGAACTGTTGTTCAATCACAGTGCCGAAGAAAATGCAACCATGCGTGTAGCCAGCTGCCATCCCCCCCTGCATCAAGTAAATAAAAATACTTAACTAACTGACCAATTGCATCGCAGACAACTCGGTTCTGCCTCCCCTAACATAAATCCTAGCTACGCCCATGTGAGCAACCCTGAATACCTACTACCACCAACTCACTGCTTGTACTCTTTATCCCATTTACTTTAGAGTAGTCCTGTTAAAGTCACCTCCATTAAGGTCAATATCAGTAGACAACAGTTTTGCTGCCTTCCTTTATAGTGTAATAAAAAAATTAAGGTCTTATATATATAATAAATGTTCATAAATGTACCAACCAAGCACGTATATAGATATGTGGACCACATGTCTAGAGCAGCACAGGAAGACCGCCCTGAAACCATTTTGACTCCCAAACTGACCAAATGTTTTCTCTGCAAGGAGGGAGGGGGTGAGGGAACCTTTCCATTGTCTCATGAATTGGCATAGCTGTCAACTTTTCCCTTTTCTTGCGAGGAATCCTATTCCGAATAAGGGAATTTCCCTTAAAAAAGGGCAAACGTTGACAGCTATGGGAACTGGGTAATCACCATCTCAAAGGAATGGGCAGACTACCAGGAAAGGCAATCAGAGAAGGCATTATCAGATAACCTGGCAGACAGGAAAAACAACATTCAAATTTCTGTTGTAGACCGCCTTTTCTGTGAAGTAGGTATGATGTTTGTGGGGGGTAGTCTTGAGCTCCAGGGCAGGGAATTTGAAATGTCTATATAAGGGCAGGCACACCTTTGTTCTGGGTCCTCCTCCGCTCTCCTGTGTGTGAGGGGAGCACCCTGTTACAACAGCTTTAATAAAGATCAGGCTTACTAGCTGCTTTGCTTCTCAATATTCTCTGGTTGGCCTCTGTTATTTTCTCCAACCAACAGAGAACCCACTTAAGGACTCTACACGGGCTCTTGGATACCCCATAAGGGAAGAAGGGCAGATTTTGTTTACAACAATAGTCTGTGTTTTATGTTGTCGATACCTGTTTTCTCAGATGGGTCGTCCATTTCAGCAACTCCCAACTAGCAAAATGCCTTTGAACAAGAGCAAAAGAGATGAGCTCCTAGCAGGGGGTCGAGAGATATGTTGGCCTTCCAAAAGCGCTACTTTCTAGTTTTCACACGATTTAACATATTTGCCTGCTTTGTAAAAATGTTTTCATTTCAGAACACGGAAACCACAGCAAAACTGAGATGCTAAAGAAAGGTTTCCATGTTAGGGATAATAACCACTTGCAGCAGGCACCATTTCATTGGGAATGCCAATATGTTTTAAAGTCAAAACAGCCTTTCTCATCATCCTGGTGCCATTCAGATGAAGTCATTCCAGCACCCATCAGCCAGGGATGACGGTCAGGTAAGGCAGGAGCTGCAAACTAGCAAAATCCGGAGGGCACCAGGTTGCTGAAGGCTGTTTTACAGCATTTCGCCCAGGGAAGCCCTCCCCCTTATTCACAAAATCCTGCCAGACCACGATCTATCAACAGCAGCTCCACCAGAGAGCTCCAGCATGGCCCGAAGCTCTAGACTGAGGTAATGCGCTCTGCTGTTTCAGCACTCTTTATCTCTGCTCGCTATCCCTGCAAAGCTGGAAATGATTGCCTTGACAGAAGGTATTTGTTGTTGCCTGACTTTTGAGACACGCTGTGCCTAGCTCTTTTCTGCCCTCTAGTGGCAATATCTGCTCATCTGGTTAAAAACAACAACAAAATGAAACACACACACACACACACTCAACAAAACCGTTTACCAATATTAAAAGGTAATATTATTAAAATATTCTTCACACAGTGAAGAAACTAATTTCCATAGACCAGAACCAAGTTCTTCAGTTTAAAAAGGGCCATTGTAAATATTGGTTGAGAAGGCGACACAGCACTATGTTAATAGGATTTTGGTCAAGTAAAATATCATGTTAGCTCTAGATCATGGGTAGGCAAACTAAGGCCTGGGGGCTGGATCTGGCCCAATCGCCTTCTAAATCCAGCTGGTGGATGGTCCGGCAATCAGAGTGTTTTTACATGAGAAGAATGTGTCTTTTTATTTAAAATGCATCTCTGGGTTATTTGTGGGGTCTGCCTGGTGTTTTTACATGAGTAGAATGTGTGCTTTTATTTAAAATGCATCTCTGGGTTGTTTGTGGGGCATAGGAATCCGTTCATTATTTTTTTTCCAAAATATAGTCCGGCCCCCCACAAGGTTTGAGGGACAGTGAACCGGCCCCTTGCTGAAAAAGTTTGCTGACCCCTGCTCTAGATGCACAAGTTAGTGATGCTTTAGCCAAAATGCCCCCTGGTGGGCCCCAGGATATTCCAAGGGGCCACAGGTGAAAATGCATAAATGGGGGCCACAGCACGAGGATAGGCGGCCACAGAGGCAGTGATAAATGGGGGGGGGACTCCTTAGAATATTAATCTTTTTTTTCTCTTCAATTTTAGTGAATTGAAATATGCATTAAAATCGCAAAAATCCACTGGTTAACATTTTGAGGCTATCTTTCAATTTATAGCACAAGCAATTTGAAATATGAATATTCCTCTTCATGGAAATGCATCTTCAAGCATCTATTAATGACTACTAATAGTCATGATGGCAACTACACATAATTCTTCTTAGGTTCTCATGCTGTCTGCCCTGAATGAGTAGTCTGGTTTATTTTATATGCACATGCATAAACACATAGACAACAGGTGCACAGCCAAAGTTTTGCAAGAGAAATGAGCATTTTAATCTATGCAAAATACATTACTTCTCCTGTTGAAATGCAGGACAGTGACAAATTCAGCTGATTAAAACACGAGAAGTGGGAGAGTAAACTGGCTCATTTAAGTGAAAACTAGAGACCCTTCGGCTCTACCCACTACAAGTCAAAGTTTTGGATTACTTTCCTACATAGCGCTTGCTTGAAGAGACATGAATCTTCTTCATTTGCAATTGTTCAGATATCAGCTACTCCAAATGATTGTTGGTAATATAAAGGTAAAGGGACCCCTGACCATTAGGTCCAGTCGTGACCGCCTCTGGGGTTGCGGCGCTCATCTCACTTTATTGGCCGAGGGAGCCAGCGTACAGCTTCCGGGTCATGTGACCAGCATGACTAAGCCGCTTCTGGCGAACCAGAGCAGCGCACAGAAACGCCGTTTACCTTCCCGCCGGAGCGGTACCTATTTATCTACTTGCACTTTGACGTGCTTTCAAACTGCTACGTTGGCAGGAGCAAGGACCAAGATACGGGAGCTCACCCCATCGCGGGGATTCGAACCACCGACCTTCTGATCGCAAGTCCTAGGCTCTGTGGTTTAACCCACAGCGCCACCCGTGTCCCTCATTGGTAATATAGGCTGAGACTAAAACAATATTCCTTACAATCTTTTGCTGAAGCCAAAATCCAGCCCAGCAGGCTATGCATAAATACTCCTGTTTCCCCAGTTTCTCTTTTTGAAACAGTGAGCTGCACCTCTCTTTGCTGCCACTTGAGTGTGCCAAAAAAAAGGGAAGGAAGGAAAAATGAAGTTGAGCGAAGTTACTTCGTAAGCCACAGAAAAGCAGCAGTGTGGCACGAAAGGACTTGCACATCCACCATTCCGTGCTGCCCCCCAGTGCAGAATTATATCTCTAATTATCAGAGTAATCAGCTCTCAGGACATCATTTTACGTTTTTATGGCCTATGACTCACTGGGCAGATCGACTCTACAAAAACGCATTAGTGTTATAATTGCTTAATTGTCATAGGCTCCCTGCAAAGAATTGTAACTGAAGTTTGGTGAGAGTTGGGAATTAGGATCGTGCCAAATTGCTGCCTGTGAACATTTTCCAAGTGGAAGGTTGTGTGTGTGTGGAATTCATGATCACCACCTTTTTACCTTGTTGGTGTAGCGCTTTGCAACTTTTCAGAGCTGCTGTCTTCCCTACCCACAGTTCCAGCTCCATATTTTTTTATTAAATGGGCTAGCAAAAGCGGAATCATGTAGGCAGCATAATGAGTTCGCTAAATTAAGTAATCCATCAGGTTTGGCCATGTGATATTGTCACAAAGCCAAGTCAGAGCAAGAGCAGGAAGCATTGCCCTCACTCTTACTTTGTAGTCCCCTGAAAAACTGGGGAAATAATAACAACAACAACAACAACAACAACAACAACAACAATAATAATAAATTTTATTTACACCCCACCCTCCCCAGCCAGAGCCAGGCTCAGGGTGGCTAACACCAATAAAATCACAGTAAAAACATAATAGGGGAAAAGAAAAGAAACCAATTTAAAATACAGGTGAAAATGAGAGGGAGGGCAATAAATCCCTCCCCCCAAAACATATACCCCTGATTTGCCTCTGGTTCTACTGAGATTTCTGTTACAAATCCTTGGTGCTCATCAGCAAACTATAATTGACAGGATTTTTGGCTAACCCACGACAATGTGGCATCCATCCCGTATAATCCAATATGCTTCTCACTCTTTGAGAAAATGAAGTTGTTAACACTCCTACTCAACACTTATCTGCTGGGAAGTTTGGGGGCAACCCCTTTTATGCCAAAGCAGCCTGGCACTACTACATTCGCAACCAATTATGGTAAATGACACTGGTTTTTAACTAGGTGCAGAACAGCTTTGAGAACCTCTTCTCTAGAGGGACTAGCGTCAACTGGTTGACACGTTGGATTCTCCATCCTTCTGTAAGATTCTTCAACTCTGTCAGAAAAGAGTAAGGAAGAGTATAAATTTAACCCACACATAGAAGTCAGTCACAATGTTTCCATTGCAATGCTACTCAGCTCAGTTCAGACGATGTATTTAGGATTTACTCCTGTAACAGATTTCAGCTATCCACTGATTTGTTTATAGTACTATCCTCCCAGGGTGGTGGCACGGTCGGAGCCATGTAAGTGCACCAGTACAAATGCCTGATTGGCTCTGCCACTGTGCTTCTTCAGCTCCAGCCTCACCAACCACACCGTGCCACTCTCATACCATCCCAGTAACCAGCAACAGTGTTGACGTCAAATGGGTGGCTCCATGGCGCCACCCCACCTGTGTTTACCCAACATGAATCACACCAAGCTGAACAGGCCTTTCACACTAGAATGTTTGTTTAGGATTGTAGCCTTAATTGAGCTGTTTTAGATGCATATCCCACTTTCCAACTGGAGTCAAAAGACTTCACGACACATCTGAAGTACAGCCATAATTAAAACATTGAAAGAAATGGATTCCTAAGGAGAACTAAGGGACAGCGTGGCAGGGTGGAAAGAGGGGAGCAGGATGAAAAACAGCTCAGAAAATGGGCAGGGGGTGTCACTGCCGTGTTGGTGGAGGGGTCAAGTGATCTGGTTCAGGAGCAAGTGGGTAGCAGGATCTTTGCCCGGCTGCCTCTTTCTCCAGGCTATCTCGCTTGGAGCAGGTGGTCTTATCCAAGTCTTTAAAAATGCCACATGGTGTAAGCCATGGGTAGGCAACCTAAGGCCTGGGGGCCAGATCCGGCCCAATCGCCTTCTAAATCTGGCCCGCAGACGGTCCGGGAATCAGCGTGTTTTTACACGAGTAGAATGTTTCCTTTTATTTAAAATGCATCTCTGGGTTATTTGTGGGGCTTAAGAATTCATTCATTCCCCCCCAAAAAATATAGTCCGGCCCCCCACAAGGTCTGAGGGACAGTGGACTTAAAAAGCTTGCTGACCCCTGGTGTAAGCCATGAAGTGGGAACCTATGACCCTCCAGATGTTGTTGGACTACAACTCCCATCATCCCTGAATATTTGCCGCACTGGCTGGGGCTGATGGGAATTGCAGCCCAACAACTTCTGGAGAGCCACAGTTAAAACAACTCTTAAAAAAAATATCCAGCTCAATTCTTCTCTTTTGCCTTCTCTGTACAGGGTGTGGCTCCCCTCTGACAGCTCTGCTTTCTCTATACAGACATTCCTCCTCAACCAACACCTAAACCTTCTTCGGCCATCTTGGTTCCCATCATCAGGTTGTTGACCTAACAAAGCAATATGCCGGGACAGAGCTGACCGATTGGTTTATCCATTTTAGCAGTACCTTACAATCATAGAATCAAGAGTTGAAAGGGGCCCTTGAGTTCATCCGCTCCAATTCTCCGCCCAAGCCTACAACAATATTATGGGTTTAATACATACTTCTGACGGAAACAAGTATTAGCTTCTAGCTCAGTCTCCTCCTCTGTTTTCTCCATCCCTCGTCCCTTCAGTCTCCGGATTCTTTCCTCAGGACTAACAGTTAGCAGTAGAACAACATCTGGTTTTAGGAGGTCTTCGGGCCAGTGGTATACTTCGTGATGCAGAGGAGGGAGATTCTGCACTTTCCCGCTTATTTCGGTGGCAACTGCATACGCGGCAGTGCTGTGCCAATACCTATCAAATTACGGGTGTGAGCGAAACTCGAGGCATTTGAAGGTTTCAAGAAAATTCAACACTAGGTGCATAGAATGAGCTGTGCAAATAGGCGACTCTGCATCTAACTAAAATCCGTTATGTGGCCTTCATGCTCATTTTGGACCCCATCTCTTCTCAAGAGGCATTTAAAGCAGTTTATATGAAGGGCTAGCCTCACAAGAACCATGTGTGAGGTAGGTTAGTTTAAGCCTGCAGGGATGTCCAACAAGTTGATCGCGATCTACTGGTAGATCCCTGCAAGGTTTTGGTAGATTGTGGGTCGATCTGTGGCTCCCTTTCCTCAAAGGCGTTGAAACTGACTCCTGCCCCACCTCCTCACCCTGCCCTCCATTGTTGTCTGATCAGTGGAAGGGAAGACGGAGCTTTCTCCCTGTGGCTGTTTTCATTAAAAGCGATATTACTGTGAGCGGCTTTTTTCCTTAGACCCTTGCCTTTAACCCCCCCAAAAATGGAACTTCCGTCCTAAGAAATGGGGCTTTCATCCTCCCTTAAAAAAAGGTCAACAACTTTGCCCTGAACCCCAAAAAGCAGGGGTAGATCATTGTCAGATTTTAATTTTGAAAGTAGATTGCAGTCTCTCAGAAGTTGGCCACCCCTGGTTTAAGGGATGGTGACACTGGTCACATCTATGCTATGTGCATTTAAAATATGTCTGTACCACTTTGACAGTCATGGCTTCCTCCAGAGAATCCTGGAAAGGGTAGCTGCTGTTGGACAAACACACGTTCAATCTTTCTTGAGTACAAGCAACAAGTTCTCTGGATTCAGGCCTGTTAACTTCAGGTAAGAGTAAGATCCAGCCAATCAAAACAAGGGGTGATTGGCTGGTTATATTATACATGCTTTTGCTTTCTAAGACTCTAAAGCAGAACAATGGCAAGTAGGGCAAAAGTAATGCCAATAGTGGCCCCATACAGGAAACAGGTAATGTAATTACTGTATTTTTCACTCCATAAGACGTCTGGTCCATCTTATAGAGTGAAAAATACAGTATATACAGACAGGAAAAGGGCTCCCAAGTTCTTTTTGATAATGTGCAATGTTTTTACCAACCTGTCTACGATCACTGGTGACTTAGACGATGCTTTCGCTATTTCGGAAGCAAGGATGTAGTTGGTCAGAGCATAAAATGCCCTCCGTATGAGCGTTGGTTCATCATCAAATATCTTTCTCCACTGGCTGACACTAGGCGGAGGAGATCTCAAGAGAACAGCATTCAGCGAATCCTTCACAGCTTGCGTCAATGTTGTTTTGCCTGTATATGACACAAGGAAGAGCATGTCCTTTATTCACGGCACAGTGCAAGAGTTGATCTAAGAAGTTCAACAGAGACAAAAGCATCCTCTGAAAGCCTCTTGAATGTTGTAGCATCTGCATAAGTACTTTTTAAAAATGCATACTGTTAAGCCAGAAATTGCAGGATGTAATGATTTATTTATTTATTTATTTGATTGATTGATTGATTAAATTTGTATACCACCCTTTATCCAAAGATTCCAGGGTGGTTCACAACAGAAAAATACAAAATGGGGACACAAAATACATAATAAAACAAAACCAACCGATAAGTCCCCTCCCACAGACACGTTAAAAAACCCACAGAATGCCTGGTTGGAGAGAAACCTTTTTGCGTGGTGCCTAAGAATATGTAAAGAAGATGCCAGGTGAGCTTCCCTGGGGAAAGCATTCCACAGATGGCAAAGGGACGTGGGTGGCGCTGTGGCCTAAACCACTGAGCCTCTTGGGCTTGCCAATCAAAAGGTTGGCGGTTCGAATCCCTGCGACGGAGTGAGCGCCCGTTGCTCTGTCCCAGCTCCTGTCAACCTAGCAGTTTGAAAGCATGCCAGTTCAAGTAGATAAATAGGTACCACTGCAGCGGTAAGGTAAACTGTGTTTCCATGCACTCTGGCACTTGTCACAATGTTCTGTTGTGCCAGAAGCAGTTTAGTCATGCTGGCCACATGACCCAGAAAGCTGTCTGCGGACGAACGCCGGCTCCCGTGGCCTGAAAGTGAGATGAGCACGGCAACCCCACAGTTGCCTTTGACTGGACTTAACCGTCCAGGGGTCTTTGACCTTTACCTTTTTACCTCTACAGATGGGGAACCACCACAGAAAAGGCACATTCTTGTGTAGCCACCCTCCAGAACTTCTCATGGAGGAGGCAAACAATGTAAATGTGCCTGAGTGAATTTAATGGCCTGTTTTTCCCTCCTTCCTGACACTGATGGTTCTTTTGGTGAGATGAAGACATCAGTTGTCTTCCACCCTACTCTGATTCCTTCCTTCACCCTTGAGACATGTTTGGTGGCCTATGCTCTTGCTGCTCTTCTCCCATGCCTGACGAATTGGGGCCATCCTGAGTGTGTGAATAGGATTGCAGGTTTAGCATCATCACCAGAGAAACCCAACCTTCTTGGAGCAGCCCTATCAAGGGGGAACCCCAAGAACCGTCCAATGAAGACCAAATGTGCTCATTGGCCACTGAAAGTTGACTACTGGGGATGGACAGAGACCTGGGTGCAGCAGCTGAAGCCCTGAATCCCTTCTCACGGCAACATTCTGTTGCAGAGCTCACAGGTTTATTCACGCCTTTTGAGTTTTGCCTTAAACTCTTACCTGTTGCATCCAGACCCTCGATAACTATCACCGGAAAATCGCCCTTCTTTGGATGCTGAGGGCACTGATCCACCAGATCAAGGACTGCTTTGGCCTCAGGAATGAGAGAAGTGCACTGTAAGGAAAGCATGTATTTACTAAAGAAGCAGTTGCTTATCAATAACTCAGGGACTGAAGCCTCAGCAATGCCTATGGGGGAACATTTAAAGGGTTGTCACAAAAGCCTTGAAGAACTCTGAGAGGTAGCCTTTGTTTCCTGGGGTTCTTTGAAATGTCCCAATGACAGCCTGCCCAGTGCCCTTGCTGGGAGGCCAAGATATGTTTGAATTCCCTGAAACAGGGACACTGCAGAGAAAGATTCATTTGGGCATTCAACGTAACAGATAGGAAAGAAAAAATGCTACTATAGCAGCTGCTGGATAGCTCCCTCAGTAAAGCATGAGACTTAATAATCTCAGGGTTGTGGGTTCGAGCCTCATGTTGGGCAAAAGTATTCCTCCATTGCAGGGGGTTGGACTAGATGACCCTCGGGGTGCCTCTTTGATTCTATACTTTTCCAGCGGTTGAAGAAGACCTTGTTCCAACAGGCATTTTGGAACTGACTGCTTTTAACAAGGGAGGTGGTGCCATGCTGCTTTTGTTGTGATTGTACGTTTTCAATAGAGAAAGAGAGGGGGGTTCAATTTTATTAAATCATTTTTTTAAAAAAAAATGATTGGTTTCTTTTTCGCTTTTCAGCTGTTTTTAGCTGTAAGCTGCCTTGTACCCCTTTCATGGGGGGAAATAACAGGAACCTCTTTTTTGTTGTTAAAAATTGTGGCATTTATTGTAACAGCTTGATGGTGAGTACCGGCACCTGAAGGCTGCCCACTCTCAAGAGGAGACTCTTGAGAGTCTCATGGACTGCAAGAAGATCAAACCTACCCATTCTTAAGGAAATCAGCCCTGAGTGGACACTGGAAGGACAGATCCTGAAGCTGAGGCTCCAATACTTTGGCCACCTCATGAGAAGAGAAGACCCTGATGTTGGGAAAGATGGAGGGCACAAGGAGCAGGGGACGACAGAGGACGAGATGGTTGTTCAGTGTTCTCTAAGCTACCAGCATGAGTTTGACCAAACTGCGGGAGGCAGTGGAAGACAGGTGTGCCTGGCGTGCTCTGGTCCATGGGGTCACGAAGAGTCGGACACGACTAAACAACAACAACAACAACAAGAGATGCACATGAGAAGCAACACTCACCTCCTCCAGGACCCTCCGGGCAGCTCCCCGAGAGCGGAACACGGCGTCTTCCAGGAGGTGCGCGCAGGCGGAATGCAGCGCCGGCTCCTCCTCGGCGACCACGCGCGCCCTGCGCACCAGCTGCCTGTCCTGCGCCGCCCCGTCAAGGCGCCACAGTGCGCAGCGCACCTCGCCGCCTTCCGCCACCTCGTATACCGCGAGGTGGACGGGCGCCGGCAGCAGGTGGCGAAGCAGCTCTTCGAGGGAGCGCTCGGTCTCGGGCGCCCGCCGCTCATCCTGCACCAGGAAGCCTCTTTCCAGCGCAGCCTCGCGGCTGGGGCTGTAGGAGAGGAGCGCCAGCGCTGCGCTCCCGGCCCCGAAGGGCTGCTCCTGGCTCAGCCTCCGCTGCAGAAGCCGGTGCAGCCGGGCAGCCCGGACTCGCTCCCGGGGGCTCCCCGCCGCCGGGAGGCAGAAGGAGTAGCATCTCCCCGGACGGGGCAGGAAGCACCGGGGAGGCGCACGGTGGTTGTTGTCGTCGTCGTTGCTTAGGTAGAAATGGACCAGCTCCGAGCTCGCGAGTTCCACCACGAAGCGGCGATCGGGAGGCGTCGCCATGGCGGAGCGGCGTCTGAGCGGCACCAGCAGAGCGAGTGCGCCCCGTCGCAGCATCGCTTCGCCGCAGAGAATCGAAACTTACCGAGCGGGGCGCGCAACAGGCAGGGACGCGAAAGTGATCGAGGAGGAGTGGGGGCGGTTTCCGCCAGGCGGCGCATGCGCTCTCTCTCTGTAGTGCCTTTCCTCCGGGGGGGACGAGTTGCTTTCTGCAACTTTTCATTGGGCTTCTTTTTAAAAGCAGGTTCGCTTCATCACGAGCCGCTCCTGCAGAGGGAGAAACGAACCTGAACTTTGGCAGGGAGCGTTTTGCATATCCTGATTAGGCGGGAGCTGAGGAAAGGGGGCGGGTGTGTGCAGGCGCTTCTTTGCCAAGCGGAGCAAGAATCGGATCCAGAAAACGAAATGGAAACTGACGCGAAGGGAAAGTGAAGCCGACCCTTCCCCTGGGCATTCTCGATTGCTGGGGCGACGCAGCCAGAGGGCTAATAATAATAATAATAATAATGAAGGGACAGCCGCATTGGTCTCGTAACGAAAACCACGGCGCTTTCGCAGATATGATTTGGAATAAGCTTTCATCAGCTCACATTCGCGGGTATAGGGAAACGGAAACGAGGACCCCACAAAGACCCCCGAAAGCTAGGAGAGAAGCCTAGGACGTTTCTAATACAGAGCTCAAACGTGCACACTATGAACGGAGCGGCCGTTCCCTGCGTTGGTTAATGATGTTTATTTTAGTTTTAACCATGATTTTTATTGGGTTTTCCATATTTCATTTCATTTTATCATACATATCTCGAGCTTACATCACTACTCCAAACGAGTAACGACTTCCTTCCGTCACTCTTTCTGACTTTCCTACTATTTTAACATATTTATCACATTTCTGTAATCACTTTTTTACCAACTTCCTAATATCATGACTTGATCCAAGTTTTTTTTTTTTTTAAAGCGTGCAGTTGGTGACAAAACATGGACTTGGTGTGGGGGAATGTGCGCTTGGAAAGAGTATACTGTAATGCGCAGTTTTAAAAATGGGGCGGGGGGGGGATTGAGCATTCAAAAGACAGACAGTATCAGCAGGGGCACAAATTATTTGAGGGTGGAATGTGCTCCATTTCTAGACTCTCAAATCATATTAAACGCCAGCTTCACTTGCGCAGTCGGGACAGGTAAGATTCCGCATGAAAAGTTAGGCTCCCTTTTGCACAGAAGTAGAGTCATGAATGAATCACGGCTGTATACTAACTAAAAAGGAAAGACTCCTGCTAGGTGTGTTCTCTGTGTGTGTTGTGTGCGCGTGCGGGCTGCTAGTGGGTGCGCCTTTGCATAGGCAGCCGAGCGAGTCCTCGCGCCCTTGGCAACCCCGAGCCAATTTTAGTTTCTCGGGAAACGGAAACCGAAACTCTCCTCCTCCTCCTCGCAGCCCCGCCGTCCCGTTATCTGCTAGCTAAAAAGCCGCCGGCTCGCTCCCCGCCGCGCACTGAAGCCTCGGAGAGGAGCGCCTGTGTGCGTAACGAGGATGATGCTCTCGCCTCCCCGCCACCTGCTCGGCCTCCTGCTCCGCGCTCTGGCCGCGCTCTGGAGCAGCCTGGCGCCCCTCTGGCTCTGGGGGGCTCCCGGGCGCCGCCTGCGCGCCCCGGAGAAAGGGAGCCCCTCCGGGACGCCGGTGCCGCTCAGCGTCAACTACCACTTCACCCGGCAGTGCAACTACAAGTGCGGCTTCTGCTTCCACACAGCCAAGACCTCCTTCGTGTTGCCCCTGCAGGAAGCCAAGAGAGGGCTCAGCTTGCTCAAGCAGGCGGGTGAGTGAGTGGGTGGGTGACCCGGGGCTGTCTGGCTAGCTAGCAGGGCTGCCCACCTGAATAAAACATTGGGGGCACCCAAGTAATCGATCACAAGATGCTATTTGAATAGCAATGCCCATCAACTTTGGGCAGGGTGGGTGGGTGAGCCAACATCTCAAATATTTTATGGGGACTGGAAGGGACCTCAGCCCCTAGGAGTTGGCTCCTGTACTAGCTAGATAGCTGGTGCTTTTCCTCCAGGAGGGAGTCCTGCTGTTTGTTGTTTAGGCACACAGTAGTTCAACCGTGCAAAGGGGCAGCGGTGATGGGACCTCTTGATGTTTGTCTCCCTCGCAAGTTCAAGTGGATTTATCCCGGTGTGAATATGTATAAGATTGCAGCCTAGATTAATTGCACACGGCCTTTCGTTTGCAATAATCAAGACAAAACGATTGCATTCCAAGACTCCAAACTCTTCTTTTGTATATAATTTTATTAAGCTTTCTGTTTTACAATTTAAAATACTCATTTTACATCCTTAAGATATCACTGACTTCCATTCTTCTCTTTCCGTGGTTCATTTTACATATCATAAATCCCTGCATATTTTACCAAAAAAAACCCTGTACCATTGAGTACAGTCTTCCATTATTGCATCCATCAAAACCATTTTATACTGATGAATTTGTCTTAATGCTGCCGGCATGTTCAGCTGTACACAATTATTTTCCATATATTCAATAAACTTTAAACATATGTTCTTCTTGTTCTCTTATTCTATATGTTAAGTCTGTGAGTTGTGCATAAGCACGACTCTGGCCTCTTCTTGACCTGCAGGGGCCCAGCACTTTCCTGTCAGCCCTCGTGACAATACACACAAACACATACACGCTGCGTGTGCAATTGTCAGAATATGCTTTCGACTTACTCTCCCCCCCCACACACACCTACTTCTGCATCCTAGGCATGGAGAAAATAAACTTTTCAGGAGGGGAGCCGTTTCTGCACGAGAGAGGAGAATTTGTTGGGAAGCTGGTCCAGTTCTGCAAGGAAGACCTTCAGCTGCCGAGCGTTAGCATCGTGAGCAACGGAAGTATGATCAAGGAAAGATGGTTCAGATGCTATGGTAAGAGAGAGCGCAGGAGAATCATAGAGTTGGAAGGGGCTGTGAGGGTCATCTAAACCAACCCTCCCTGCTGGACAGGAATCTTCCTCCTAATGTAGGGCTCAAACCCACGACCCTGAGATCAAGAGTCTTGTGCTGTACCTACTGAGCTAGCTGGGCATAGGTGCTTTACTTTACAAGTAAAAGAAATAATCTCCCATTTACCACAAAATGATAAACACTAATACAGTGGTACCTCAGGTTACAGACGCTTCAGGTTACAGACTCCGCTAACCCAGAAATGGTACCTCGGGTTAAGAACTTTGCCTCAGGATGAGAAAAGAAATCGCACGGTGGCAGCAGGAGGCCCCATTAGCTAAAGTGGTACCTCAGGTTAAGAACAGTTTCAGGTTAAGAACGGACCTCTGGAACGAATTAAGTTCTTAACCCGAGGTACCACTGTACTAATAGGGACCCTGTTCTCTGAATGTAAATGGAGCCAACGGAGACAGTCTATCCATGCACAACAGGACAATGACTATATCCCTACAACAGCTTTGGGACGCGGGTGGCACTGTGGGTTAAACCACAGAGCCTAGGACTTGCTGATCAGAAGGTTGGTGGTTCGAATCCCTACGACGGGGTGAGCTCCCATTGCTCGGCCCCTGTTCCTGCCAACCTAGCAGTTCAAAAGCACGTCAAAGTGCAAGTAGATAAATAGGTACCGCTCCAGCGGGAAGGTAAACGGCATTTCTGTGTGCTGCTCTGGTTCACCAGAAGCGGCTTAGTCATGCTGGCCACATGACCCGGAAGCTGTACGCCGGCTCCCTCGGCCAATAAAGCAAGATGAGCGCCGCAACCCCAGAGTCGGCCATGACTAGGCCTAATGGTCAGGGGTCCCTTTACCTTTTATTCTTGTCTGCTTTTGCTCAATAGCATTTGATGCTGAATGCATGACTACTCACATAAATGGAATTTTTAGTGCAGCCTTTTCGTGTGCGTTTTGGTTTCTTTGTGTGCATTTTGGTAGTCAAGACATTAATTGGTAGTTGGTGGAAGAATGAGTCCGTTTATTCACTTGCTTTGGTGCTGTGCTTATCTGCGGACCTTGGGTTGCTGGGCTCTTGGCCCAGAGAGAGAAACTTATCTGTAAACTCTGGATAGTTGCCACCTATGGCCTCACTAGGCAGGTGAGTGGGTGGGAGGGTCTGGCATGCTGCTTTGTGTATAAGGAATGTATAAAAGTTTGCTTGGGTACGGACAAGTCACGGTGACCTCCCACATTTGTGGTGTTTGTCCCGTTTCTCCAAAGGCAGTAGAGCTCCAAAGGTTGGGCTGTAAGTTCACTCTTTCCCATAATAGAGCACTAGAATTGACCACCCTGGCGTTTTTGACATCCACCTTTGGTATCCCTGCACCAAACCACTCCAATGAGCTGGTGGATCAGGATAGCCGTTCCTCAAGAGGCGTGAACAGCTCAAGGCTGCTGCTCCAGACATTCTGAAACCTTGAACAGGAATCTTTCTCTAGGGTAGCAGAGATACAGGACGTTTTGTTTCAAGGCCCATTCTTTTTCATCTGTTTGAAAATGTGTTATTAGTCCTTTATCCTACTTAACCTTCATCTACTGGCTGGGGGCAAAAAAAAAGATCACATTGTTGATTTGGGGGGTGTTTTTCTGCTCCGGTGAGATTTCCCAGGTTTTCTCATACCAGGGATGCTCTGAAAAGGGGAAGGCATGAGAAAATCTGGATAGAGGGACAAGGAAGTATGAGGAGGATGTGTGAACAGTGGAGAGTTAATGGAGGCACCAAAGCTTGTTGTCTGCATTACCCAGCAGTATGGATGATCCCTAATTTATTTCTGCTTGTTTTTGGCCTCAGCTATAAGTTGCTCTGTTTGGACAATTGGATACCTGTTCAATTAATTAATTAAAAACATCTGAGTTTATTAGTATTTTAGTAAAACTCCCATCATTTTGCCTGTTCCAGGGCAACCAGCAAGAGGGGGCAGTAATGTTGAATGAATTAATTCATGGTTGTCACAATAATGTTGAGCTCGATTGACGCCTTGGTAAGGAATTTATAGGTAAATGGAAGAACAGTTAATTACAATCCAGAAGCACATTGTGTGTTATTTTCTGGTCCGGCCTGTGAAAATAACCCCATACTTGGGATTGAATAGGATGTGAGTCATTGACCCATAGTGTGGATCAGGGCTGCCCCAAGACATTTTGCCACCTGAGGCGGACCCCAAAGTAGCCCCAGAAAACAAGGGGTGAGGGAAAGATCTACGTCATGAACAAGGAGGGAAGAAAGATCAATATCAGTAACTTCTGCCCTGGTGGATCCTGCTGCCTGAGGCAGTCACCTCACCTTGCCTCATGGGTGGGCTGGCCCTGAAGAAAGATCTGCATTGGGACCTGCTGCCCCTGGGGCTGTTGCTACCTGGGGCTCTTGCCTCACCTTGCCTCATGGTGTTCATGGGTGAAAGTTGTCTCTTTCAGGGAAATACCTAGACATACTTGCAGTGTCGTGTGACAGCTTCTGCGAGGAAGTCAATGTTTTGATTGGCCGTGGGCAAGGGAGGAAAAGCCATGTTGAGAATCTACAAAAACTGAAGAAGTGGTGTCAAGATTACGGCGTCGCTTTCAAAATAAACTCCGTGATTAACAGATTCAACATGGAAGAGGATATGAACGAGCACATTAAAGCTCTAAATCCTGTCCGTTGGAAGGTAAGAACATCTTCTTTTCAGCAAAATACTTTCATTTCACTATAAGATTTCTTACTTGCCCTTCACCATGACGTCCCAGGGCACATTAGAACATAACGGCTGTGTTCTACCTCCACTGTCTGGGGCAGCATATCCCTAAATACCAGCTGCTGTGAATCCAGCAGAAGCAAAAAATACATGGTATATACAGACCAAAAGTAAAGTAAGAAGAAAGGATAATGTGCTCAGCGACAGGTTTATATCTCCCTGTCCCTTGAGTTTTCACATGGCTCATAGGAGAAAAACACCAGCTGCAGTCATGTTTGACTTGTTGTTGTTTAGTCGTTTAGTCGTGTCCGACTCTTCATGACCCCATGAACCAGAGCACGCCAGGCACTCCTGTCTTCCACTGCCTCCCGCAGTTTGGTCAGACTCATGCTGGTAGCTTCGAGAACACTGTCCAACCGTCTCGTCCTCTGTCGTCCCCTTCTCCTTGTGCCCTCCATCTTTCCCAGCATCAGGGTCTTTTCCAGGGAGTCTTCTCTACTCATGAGGTGGCCAAAGTATTGGAGCCTCAGCTTCATGATCTGTCCTTCCAGTGAGCACTCAGGGCTAATTTCCTTAAGAATGGATGTGTTTGATCTTCTTGCAGTCCATGGGGCTCTCAAGAGTCTCCTCCAGCACCATAATTTAAAAGCATCAATTCTTCGGCGATCAACCTTCTTTATGGTCCAGCTCTCACTTCCATACATAACTACTGGGAAAACCATGGCTTTCACTATGCGGACCTTTGTTGGCAAGGTGCTGTCTCTGCTTTTTAAGATGCTGTCTAGGTTTGCCATCGCCTTTCTCCCAAGGAGCAGGCGTCTTTTAATTTCGTGACTGCTGTCACCATCTGCAGTGATAATGGAGCCCAAGAAAGTAAAATCTCTCACTGCCTCCATTTCTTCCCCTTCTATTTGCCAGGAGGTGATGGGCCCAGTGGCCATGATCTTCGTTTTTTTGATGTTGAGCTTCAGACCATATTTTGTGCATGTTTGACTAGAAAGTACAATAATGTTCTTGTGAATCCAGGAAGATTCTTCACAAATAAAACTCCATCCCTGACAGAGGATTGCTGCAATGCACTCAGGTTCTGCTTACAAGCTTCCTATGAGCATCTGGTTGACGTCTGAGAACAGAGTTCTGGACTAAATGAAAGTTTGGCCCTAGAAAAAGAGCACTGGTTGTGTGGCTCCTCCCAGTTCTCAATTGGGTCAGGAGCTTCCATTGATAAAGCAAACTCGTTGCTTCAGAATTTATGCCCGACACAGTGGTGAGGATGAGGCTAGACATACAGCTGCACAGCCCCTTTCGCCACATTCATCCTCTTCACACGCGTAACCCCTGAAGAGACTAGTGATTCTGTTGCTGCTCTAGGAGGATCATGGACCTACTGGCTGGGGTGGGTGGCAAAATGCTGTGGGTGTGTTTTCTCATAGGTGACAGTAAGTGAGCCTCCAGTCACTATCGTATAGTTTAAAGGTAAAGGTAAAGGGACCCCTGACCATTAGGTCCAGTCGTGACCGACTCTGGGGTTGCGGCGCTCATCTTGCATTACTGGCCGAGGGAGCCGGCGTACAGCTTCCGGGTCATGTGGCCAGCATGACTAAGCCGTTTCTGGCAAACCAGAGCAGCGCACGGAAACGCCGTTTAGCTTCCCGCCGGAGCGGTACCTATTTATCTACTTGCATTTTGATGTGCTTTCAAACTGCTAGGTTGGCAGGAGCAGGGACTGAGCAACGGGAGCCCACCCCATCATGGGGATTTGAACCGCCGACCTTCTGATCAGCAAGCCCTAGGCTCCCGTATCCCTAGCACCACCCGCGTCCCGTATCATATAGTTTACCCGTGGTCTATTACTGTGTAAAAAGAGACTATCGAGAGTCTCTCCATCAGATCATTGTTTTGCCTCGGTGGTTGTGTGACCGACAAACATCCTCTCTTAATCATACACTCGGCTGTCTCACAGGTATTTCAGTGCCTGCTCATCGAAGGAGAAAATACAGGGGAAGAGGCTCTGAGAGAAGCGGAGAGATTTGTTATCAGTGACGAAGATTTTGAACGATTCCTGCATCGCCATAAAGATGTCTCATGCTTGGTGCCCGAATCTAATCAAAAGGTAAAGTTCTTCTAATGCGGACTATTCATCAACTCTGAGAAAAGACCTTTTTATCTTGAAAACTAGAAATGCTAATAATGGTTTGGTTTTGTATTTTGAAAGGAGCTTGCTAGCAGAAAAACGCAGGCACAAAGTTTCCTGCTTTCCCCAGCTGGAAATGGGGGCCACGTCGGCTAGAATTCTTGTAAGCTTGCAGCGCTGTACGATAAACACTCCAGATGGGTAGGGCTTGGACGGATAGGTCTATTGTGGAAAACATTAAGCCTTAACAATATGCTGACATCGCAGCAGTGTTAAAGCAGCTTCTGATGCAGTCTGTTTCATCAGGGAGGGTAAAAGGTAAAGGAACCCTGGACGGTTAAGTCCAGTTGAATTTGACTATGGGGTGCGGTGCTCATCTTGGTTTTCAGGGAGCCGGCATTTGTCCGCAGACAGCTTTTCCAGTCAGGCCAGCATGACTAAACTGCTTCTGGCGCACGGAGCCCTGTGACGAGTGCCAGAGCACATGGAAACACCATTTAACTTCCTGCTGCAGCGGTACCTATTTTTCTACTTGCGCTGGTGTGCTTGCAGAGAGGGTAGCTTTGTTGGTTTACTCACTTCCTAAACGTTAGCTCATTTTGTTCAAAATAGTTAAGAAGACAAAATTGCGGTAGTAATAGAGCTGTTGCTGATGAATGCTTTCACCAGGGCCATGTATTATTTTATAACTGTGAGGTGTAAGAGAAGTAACCGGGATTGGGTATGGAATTCAGCATTCTGAAAATCTTAGGGGGTTCCCCCCCTCACTTAATGTTTGAAGATAAACCATCCCCTTTATGTTTCCTCTCTGTTCAATTTTTGATTGAAAGCACTTTAATACAGAGAGCTGTCCTCTTATACCCAATGAAGTTGTTTTTGTATTAAAGCATGGATCGGTTCCATGTAATTTATATACAGGTTTAAGTTATTAGAAAAACAACAATCCTAAAGCTTAGGTAAAATCTGTCATTATTACTGTTCACCAATCTTCAAACCTACAGATATATTTTAATATTATTATTTTTTCTCCATCCCCCTTTTTATTTAACAGATGAGAGATTCATACCTAATTCTGGATGAATATGTAAGTTGTTTTCTTTTGTTGTTTTATTTACCCTGCCCCACACAACCACAACTTGAAATGTTCATTCCATCTATGGGGCAAAATATCAGCCTTTGCCCTACACTTACTTGGTTGGACAAGTCTTACTTAAACCAGTGTGGTGTAGTGGTTAAGAGCGGTAGACTTGATCTGGGGAAACGTGGCAGCGGCAGCCTCAGCAGCCCAGAGCCAACCTGGTAGCGCAGTTGGCTCTGGCTGGCTTCAGGAGCTTCTCGCTGCCATGGTGCCCGCCATTTTTCCTCACCGGAAGTCCCCATATGATGTGTCTTGTGCAATCTCCTGCCCCCTGCCCCCTTTGTTTTGACTGATCGGGGGAAGCTCGGGAGTCGCGGGCAGGTGGCTGTTGCCCAGGTTTTTTTAAAAACTCAGTGCATTTATGTTTCACAGGGTGCGAAAGAAGGGCTTTGCACCTTTATACAATATGCATGTATGCTTGGATCTAGGGTCTTTTGCCTCAGCATCCCCACTACTGACTCCCTACTCAGCTTCAATAATAATAATAATAATAATAATAATAATAATAATAAAGGGTATGTCCCCGGATTCATTGAAAAAAAATCTGGTAAGCCACAGTAAACTGTGGTTAATCCAAAACAGAAGTGATAGTTTTTGATCTTCTTGTGACTGTGCTGGTGGAGATCTACTGAAGCTTATCCCTGTAATGTGTGAATGGCACGATGCAATATTTACAATTCTAGTTTATATTTCATTATGATAAAATTTAAGTAAAAAGAGGGATTGGTACACCCTGTGGAGAAACCCAAGGAAGTGCTGCGCCCCAGTGCAACAAAACAAAACAAAATTGGGATACTGCACAGATACCTGCCATGTTTTTTTCACACTTGGATACCGGAAGTCTTTATTCATTTATTGAATTTATATCCCACCTTTTTCTCTATGGAGTTCAAGATGGCTTATATAGTTCCTCCACTCCTCATTTAATCCCCACAAGAACCCTGTGAGGTAGGTTAGGCTTAGAGGGAGTGACTGGCCCAAGGTCACCCAGCGAGCTTCATGGTTGGGAATCAAACCCTGGAGTCTCCCAGCTCCTAGTCCAAGATTCTAACCACTGCACCACCAGCTTTTAGATGGGGTTCGTGAACAGATGACTGTGCTTGGCTGTGCAGCTCTGGAATATAAGTTGATTGAGCTTGAGCCTTTCTGTATTTTGAGGAAATACAATACCTGTACCTGAGAGGATGGGTAGAACCCCTGTCCCTGAACATTTCCCGGTGTGTGTCTAGTGTAAGGTTATCAGATTTTTTTTCAATGAATGCGGGGACACTTTTCAGCTTCAATGGATTTTGTATGGGGACTGATTTGTAAATCCGGGGACTGTCCCTGGGAAACGGGGACATCTGGTAACCTTAGTCTAGTGGTTAAGATTTGTGCTGTCAGCATCCTGAGATTTTAATTCCTGACCACACCAATGTATCAATTCGTTATTATTATTATTATTATTTACCCTACCTAGGAAACCTACAGCCCAAATTGCTCAACCATACATGCTATCTGAAAGTGTTTTTTTTGGGGGGGGGGACAGTTGCACATCTCATTAAAAGTACATGGTTGTAATGTGACAGCAAATTCTGTTATTGGCTGGAATGTACATTTCTATTACCTGTTCTATTTCATCTGCATACACAAGTACTGCAAGGCGGTCTCAAAGGGTTGTGTAAAAATACAGTGTGGCAGGGTAAAGGTAAAGGGTAAAGGGACCCCTGACCATTAGGTCCAGTCGTGGCCAACTCTGGGGTTGCGGCGCTCATCTCGCTTTATTGGCTGAGGGAGCCGGCCATGTGGCCAGCATGACTAAGCCGCTTCTGGCAAACCAGAGCAGCACACGGAAATGCTGTTTACCTTCCCGCTGGAGCGGTACCTATTTATCTACTTGCACTTTGACGTGCTTTTGAACTGCTAGGTTGGCAGGAGCAGGGACCGAGCAACAGGAGCTCAACCCGTCGCGGGGATTTGAACCGCCAACCTTCTGATCGGCAAGTCCTAGGCTCTGTGGTTTAAGAGTAGGAAATGCATTTATTTAAAATGTTCCTCTGTGGATCTTCACTGCATACTTTACATACATTTGGAGTTAGGCACCAGGGGTGTTCCAGCAACTTTAATCTCAAGTGATTGGGATGTGGGTATTTGTTTTGTGGGATCTGCTATATATGTTCTTAATTCTCCTCTCTGTCCACCCCTCACCCCAGATGCGTTTTCTAAACTGTGCAAATGGCCGGAAAGAACCTTCCCGATCTATCCTGGATGTAGGTGTAGAAGACGCAATAAAATTCAGTGGATTTGATGAAAATATGTTTTTCAAGCGAGGAGGAAAATATGTCTGGAGCAAAGCAGATATGGCACTAGAATGGTGACCAAACCTGTCTGTTTACCACATGTGCACTGAAACCATGAACAGTATCCATTTCTTCCACCCTGGAGAGAGAATGATATGTATTTTAGCTTCTTTGGGTGTGCGGCAGGATTTTAATGACTGTGGACTGTTGCAAGCAAAATAGGTGTACATTTCCCCACAAGTGGGAATTAGCTTTCAGTCACTGTATATTTAAATAATGGCTTGCACCAGCAACAAAAGCAGCACTGTGTATACATAGGCTTGGATAAAACATCTCCCCAAAGACTCAAACACAGAAGAAGATCTGAACTGCCACACCAAGTCTTCCGAAGACTTTGGGTTTGTAGAGGAAGACTACATATTAACCAGCAATACCTAACGTCAGTGAGGCTTAAACGTATAAAGAGGAAGGCCCATGGTGACAAGGACACAAGCTCTCAGATACTTATTTGTATGCACGGAGGCAGCTGTCATCAACACTTTCAGATAAATGCTGTTTAAGCCGAAGATATAGCCGGGCATCAAGCAGACACAGACATCACTGGAGCATTACTAAATTACCAAGAGTGAAAAGATTGTCTTTGGCAAAGACTTTAGCAATACATAGAAAACTAAATATGCTACCGCCAAAAAACCAGGGGAACTCTCAAACAGACTAATGGCCCAGCAGTGGCTAATGTGGCATTGGAACACAACAGAACAAATAAAATGGCACAAGCTTTTAAGAAAATATATATAGGTGTGATGGCCATTTATTCCATACACCAGCAATGATCCGTTAACTCTGGCTGGACACACGTAGCATTATTATTTTGTAAAAGGAAACTGTAATTCATAGAATTGCAGAGTTGGAAAGGACCTTGAGGATTGTCTAGTTCAACCCTCTGCAATTGCAGGAATAGGCAGCTGTCCCATGCAGGGATCGAACCTGCGCCCTACTGAGCTATCTGGTAACTTCTAGATACTGTGCTGTGTTGCACCTGATCCAGTTGCTTCAGCTGTTGAGAGCGCAGCAGCTAGACTACTGATGGGGGCAGAGAGGGTTGGCAGTGTGTGACCACTCTGCTAGATCACCTGCACTGGCTGCCCAGGTTCAAATCTCTTGTATTAATATACAAAGCCTTTGAACTACTTGTGTCCAGGATACCTTAAGGGCTGCCTGAGTCCTTATATCCCAGCTCCATCACTGAGATCATGTGGAGGAGCAGGATTTGTCCCCCGTGTTTCAGAGGTCCAACTGGCCTGGGCTAGAAGCCAGGTGTTTAGTGATGCTAAATGTGTGGTGGTTTTTTTTGGGGGGGCTATTGGGTTGTTTTTATTTTTATTATGTCTTTTGTGGTTTTATATCTTGATTTTATTCTGTGTACTGCCCTGAGACCCCCGGGTATAGGGCGGTATATAAATTCAATAAATAATGCTATGGAAAAGACGTGCCTATTTGGTTTAAGTTTTATTAAGATTAGGCAGGCATCTTGAAGATTATTTTGTATTGTTTCATTCTGTATATATTGCCGTACACCACCTTGATGTTTCTGATGTGACATATAAATACTTTTGTAAACTAATACAGGCGAACGGTCATAAAACTGGAAAAACCATTGCTTGTTTCTAGTGATTATGTATTTTTTGTGTTTTTATATTGTGATTTTATGTTGAAGCCACCATGAGAACTGTGGGTATAGGGAAGTATACAAATTTAATAAATAAAAAACAAAGAAAGAAACAAACAGTAGTGTTGTTTTTCTTAATAAGATGGGGGATTACATGCGCTTGTGTGTTTGTGTGAGGGATGGAAGTAAAAGCAATAAATAAAAATGGCTGTTAAAAGAGCATGTGGTGCCATGTGCCTTGCGAAATGTAAGTCTCCTTACGCAACATAATATTCTCTCCCTCTCACCCCACAGCCCCTAAACCAAGGAAGGAGTGTCCACCACAGAACAGATGCCAAGCACCTCCACACTCATGCTTAGAAACATGGGGTGCAGGAAGGTTCCTTATACCGAGACAAACCATTGGTCCACCTAGTTCAGTATTCCTTACATTGGATAGCAGTGACTCTCCAGGGTTCCAGGTAGGGACACCTCCCATCCCTACCTGGAGATGTCAGGGACTGAACCTGGGACCTTCTGCATGCAAAGCAGATGCTGTACCATTGAGCTACGGCCTTTGTCTCCTCCCCGCCAATGCCCCATGTCCCTCTACTTCCATAACCCTTGGCGAACTAGCTTGGAAACAGGACTTTGCCATAATGATGAAGCAGATGATAGTCCCAGTTCATCTGGGTGGGAAAACTGAATGCCTACAAGACCAGGGACTCTAGGGACACTGGGAGGCTGATGTTCCCCTGCACTATTTCCACCCAAAAACTAGGGCTGGGCGATACCTGGTTTTCAACATCGCAATATGTATCACCAGTTAAACATTGCAATAGACCCGAGATAACACAACGTCCAAAATGAGGATGGAGCTGATTTTCAACATTGTGATGTATCGCCAGCCAAACATCACAATATACTGATATATCACAATGTCTGAAACAAGGATGAAGCTATGGAGCGGCATCTGCTGGCTTCACAGTTTCCCCCACATAGTTCTTTTTGCATAACACACACACACACACACACACACACACAGACATCAAGATTGGAATATATTGCCAGGTCAAAAATTATGAAAGCAACATCATGGTATGGACTTCAAACCAGTTTTGGATGACATATCGTCCAGCCCTAACGCATATCCTGATTCACGATATATTGCCAGGTCAAAAACTATGAAACGGATATCACAATATGGACTTCAAATTGATTATTTTGAACGATATATCGATATAGCGCCCAGTCCTATCCAGGACAAACATCATGACAAGGGGGAGACCAGCCTCATCCATTAGTCAGTGAAGGAGCCGCTGTAGGGTGTTTGCTCCCTTCCTCTCCCACCACCAGAAAGAACACTGGACTCTCCTTCCTTGAGATTCCTGCATTGCAGGGGGCTGGACTAGATGACCCTCAGAGGTCCCTTCCCACTCTACAGTTTCTATGGATAGCAACCGCCAGAGACTGTGAGATTGCAGGCCCCAAGCACGGAGCATGCTCTGACCATCAACAGGGCTGTTGGCCTGCATGTGAGTTTTGAGCTTGTTATTGCTGCTGTCAACAACTTGTAAGCTGGCCTGAGAATAACTGCATTTCAAAGACAAGCCTAAAATGCTCAAAAAAAATCATCATTTTTTATTTGCATGCCACTTTTCCACAGTTAAAAACAATGCTCAAGGCGGCTTACAACATGACAAGATTTACATAATTACAAAAGTCATAAACAATAAATAAACCACATGAAAAAAATACACAACCAAATGGAAAACAATTTCCACACAAATCAAAATCTAAAACTAAGAATACAGCATTAATATCGCAGATTAAAATGACATAGGTAAAAAATAACAGCAATTTAAAATTTAATAAATATTCCGAACTACAATGAACCTGGGAAGGTACTGTAATGCACCATTATGCTACAATCCTTTCCATTTGAGAGGGATTTTATTTTGTCCCTTTAACCACACAGCCTAGTAATATTTTGAAAGATGAATTTTAAGCTGGTTATGATGACCTGCGTTACATCGGCAAGACACCAATTTAGACCAAACCACAGGCTCTATATAAAGATGTATCGTTTGCTGCCGGGACAAAATAAATATGTAAAAAAAAAGAACTTCTTGAATGGTAATTCTCTGAATCACTATTTTTATTGCCATAACCATAATCATATACAACAAAGTGTGTCCAGAAATTCTCCCATCCTTATTATTTCTTTTATGTAGGCCTTTGACATTAGTTTTTCCCCTCCCCGCCTTCAAAATATGTAAGAAGAAATTATGGGGCTTGATTCCACGGCAGTTTAGCCAAATCTGCCCTCTCTTCAGATGGAATCTTGCCTAAATAAAGTTTGCAAGTCTACACCCAAACCACATATATTTCATTATGGATTGCATTGAGCCTTAAAACCTCAAAGCCACCAGCACACATGTTGCAAGAAATGTGATGGTGTCTGTTCCAGCCTTACTAGCAATTCTACTCTACCATTACAACCGCTGCCTGCTGTTCAGCCAGAATATCTGCTACTTAGCAGCTGAATGTATTACAACAGCCTGTAGAACTGAATCTCCTAGCTCAGTTAGCCAGCAATGTAGTTTTCCTGGGCAATTCTGCACAGAGATTCTTCCTGATGCCCCAGAGAATGATCTAATTAGTGTGTTGATCTTGCTCATAATTAGTAAAATATTTTTTTTTTTAAAAAAAAGCTATACGCTTTGAAACTGCCAGGCTTCCATTTGCAACGGGCATTCATTGTTATGAACAGATAACCCATTCAGATCATCACCAGCAGTTCCAAAATGCTGCCCACTTGATTGTGCTTGATGGGAGTGTGAGGGGAGAGTTAGTACCTCTGGTGGAGGAGACATGTTGTGGTCCTCCTGGAGTAGTTTGCTCACTTTTGGTCCCGCCTCCCCCCCTGCACTCAGCTCTCACCTGTGGCTCCTATAAGCTTTCAGAATGTGACAGCAGCCATATCCAGGGAATGGCTTCAATTGGCTGGCTAAACCAAGCGAGGGCAGCTGATAGGTATCAAATCCTTAATGAGTGAAGGCAGGCTCTGGAGGATTGAGCAGACAGAACAATACTGCACATGCTGTAGAGCTGGCATCCCCAACCCTCCAGATGTTTCAGTCTACAACTCCCATGATTCCTAGCTAACAGATCGGGGTGATGGGAATTGTAGTACAAAACATCTGGAGGGCCAAAGGTTGGGGATGCCTGCTGTAGAGGGAAGTGAGGAGCACATATGGGTCATCAACTTGGGAAGGTAGCCCATCTAGAAGAAACGACCGTAAACCTGAACTGCCTTGTGGGATATCTTCAGGAGAAGAAAAGTCTACACAAATCCCTAAGGCAGTTGGATGGCACCTTGTACACCTCCTTCCGGCAACTCCAGCAGCCAAACTGGTGCCAAACGTATTGCTCTGCTTTCCTTCGGACCACATCAGCGAGGCTTGTCGTCCGGGCAGCCCAGGTGCTCCATACACACTGCCCAGGGGAAACAAAGAATGTACCTATTACCTTTCTCCATCTCGGGTTTCCAGATGTTGTTGTACTACAAACCCCAACCATCCCTAGCCAGCAGGGACCAGCACTCAGAGATGACGGGAGTTGTAGTCCAACCCCACCTGTGTACTTACAGCAGGCTAGTTTCTACTCACACTCATCCTACCTATATTGGCCAGGGAGGACACAATCTCTCCTCGCTTTCTGTCACGGGTCGACGGCAGGCATTCGCACTGCCGCACAACCCACCCAGAGGCGCTTTTTCGCAACGGGTGAAGAAACCGCGCTCCAGCTCCTGGAGCGCCATCCGGAGGCCTATCCCGACCACGGGGCGCTGTGAGGGGCTGCTACCCCCCAGCCAGCCCTCTTCTCCGGGGGCGCTTCTCCTTCCCAAGCCGGAGAAAGGAGACCCGCACCACGCCAAGCCTCCGCCCCGTCTGAGCCAGGCGCGAACTGGGGAGTCCGGCAGGGGGCGCGTCCGCGCCGCGCCCCGACTTGAGCGGCGCGCTTCAAAGCCCAGCCGCCGCGGCTGCAAAGCCGCCGGAGCTTAATGGCGTCCTTGCGCTCAGATTAGCTGCTCCGTTTTCCTTCCTTCCTTCCTCCTCCTCCTCCTCCTCCTCCCCTTCCTTCGGGGAGGCGGGCAGCGGGCAGGAGGAGAAGAAGAAAAGGAGCGGCGGGAGAGGGAGAGGCAGAAGCGCCCAGGCGCGCGGGCAAGACTTCGCCGGGAAGGCAGCCGCACACAATGCGCCAAGAGGCAACACCCGGGCAAGGCAGCGCGGGAGACTGAGGCGCGGCGGTCCAGGCGAGCGGGAGGAGGAGGAGAAGCAGCAGCAGCAGCAGCAGAGCAGGAGGGAAGAGGCAGCGGCAGCCCCAGTCCCCCCTTCTTCCCTCGCGGCGGCGGCGGCGGCAGGAGGGTAAGGCGGCGCGGCGCGCTCGGCTTTGTGTCTGCTTGCATCCGACGGGGATGGCGCGCTCGCTAGGCCGCTCGCTCGGGGATTGGCGAGGCGGCTCCTTCGCCGAGGCGTCCGCACCGACACGCGCCTTTGTGTCTCCTTCCCGGGAACGAAGATGCGGGCATAGGAGCCCCTTCTTAGGGCCGAGGTCTCCCTTCGCCCCCCTCCCCCAAATAAAATATTGGAGGGGGCTCCCCCCCCACAGTTTATGGACATTGCCGTTCAAATGGCTTGTGCGCACCGCCACGTCTTGTGATGGATTACGCGGGGCGGAGCTTACCTGGTCCCCCATCCCCAATATTTTGTTCAAGTTGGTACCCCTGTGCAGGGTTAGATTTTAGCCCCCAAGAGGTTGAGGTGGCGCCTTGGAGAAGTTCACTTTGCCCCCCAGGGCTGCTGGGAATGCGGATTCCAGGGCCTGTCCCTCTGGCTGGGTCGGTGGGTGTGCCTCTTGGGTGGTGGGCATCCTTGGCTATTCTCCTCGTTCTTCTCCGCCAGGCAAATGAGCGTAGGAAGTTGGATCGGGCACCTCTTAACGCTTCTTGATTTATAAAGTGCTGTATAGGTAGCATCTCCCTGAAACAAAAAAAAATATCCACGCAAGTCGTTGATCGCCAAGAGGTGCAAATTGATTTTGTGTTGGTTATTTATCTCTCTTGTAATTGGTTTTCACGTTGGTTATTTATTTCCCTTAGCTGGCCTGCACGCTGGCCAATAAATGAGGGTGTATGGGGGAAGACCTGCTTGATTGGCACCCGTGGCAGGTACAGATGGCTGTGGAAGTACTTTATTGGATAGCTGTGTGGCATCTTGTGGCACAATGGGTCATTGCATCTGGCTGTTGACCCCAAAGCCTGGTGGTCCGAGCCCACCAAGGCACAGCTGTGGGCAGGATTCCAGGGGGTTGGACTAGATGACCCTTGGGGTCCCTTCCGACTCTATGATTCTTTGTACACACACAATTTAATATAAGCATAGGCTTCTCTCCTGCTGTCCTCCTGCCGCATTTGGCATCCATCCTGACATGACCCTCCATTTACAAAACCCTCTGCGCCCATGGGACACTTTTTGTTTTTTTGCTTAGTTTCCCCCACTCTGCCCCAGCCAAGGTAGAAGCAGGTTTGTAGAGACAGTACAAAAAGGCAGGGGAATGCAACCAGCATCCACAGCCTCCACTGACATTAATACTCAGGCAGCCTTGGAATCCCTTCAGATGGAGAAGCAGCAGCAGGGAGAGCAATCTCCCAACTTAATCCTTTCCACTGGCAGATTTTCTGCAGGGGGAAAAAGGGTGAGATCTGACAACCTTTGGCCGCACTTGAAGGTCTGAGTATGTGGGGAGGGCTGCCAGAACAGAGGGGAAAGCGTTGGGAGAGTATTTAAGAAGCTTTCAGAGGATTTAGGCCTGGGATGGTGCTATGTGTGTTTGGATGGATGGATGTTATTATAACGCCCAGAGAGTCCCCTTTGCTGGTTCTCTGATTTGTTGAGACATATTATGTCCCCAGAAGGGACACGGGTGGTGCTGTGGGTTAAACCACAGAGCCTAGGACTTGCCAATCAGAAGGTCAGCGGTTCGAATCCCCGCGACGGGGTGAGCTCCTGCTGCCCGGTCCCTGCTCCTGCCAACCTAGCAGTTCGAAAGCACGTCAAAGTGCAAGTAGATAAATAGGCACTGCTCCGGTGGGAAGGTAAACGGCGTTTGCATGTGCTGCTCTGGTTTGCCAGAAGCGGCTTAGTCATGCTGGCCACGTGACCCAGAAGCTGTACACCGGCTCCCTCGGCCAATAAAGCGAGATGAGCGCCGCAACCCTAAAGTTGGTCACGACTGGACCTAATGGTCAGGGGTCCCTTTACCTTTATCTATTATGTCCCCCGGGAAGGTCAAGGCTGTAAGGCTGCGATGGGGAACCTGTGGGTCCCCCAGATGGGTTTTTTAAGGACTCCTAATTCCCATCATTCGAGAGCATTGGCCATTCTGCCTGGGGCTGATGGGAGTTGGATTCCAACAGCATCTGGAAGGCGGTAGGTTCCCCATCCCTGCTGTTGGGTAATTGACTTCCTTTATAAGAATAAAGGACATTTTCAGATGAGCTGTCTCTTCAGAATACATTGTTGGGGAGCAGCTGCACCTGTAGTCATTTCATCCATCTCACGCTTATTGGTTCTGCCTTGAGTTGCAAGAGTGCTATCCAGCCATGTCTATCCCCTGTTGGAAAGCCATTTGATCCAGTGGAGTCTTCCATTAGAGCAGGGTTTCCCACACTTGGCTCTCCACCTGCTTTTGGACTACACTTCCCATTATCCCTGACTAGTGGTCCTGCTAGCTAGGGATGATGGGAGTGGTAGTCCAAAAGCAGCTGGAGACACCCAAGTTTGGGAAGCACTGGTTTGCACACACTGGTGAGGTGCTTCCACCCCTTTCCTGAACCCATTGGGCTCACCACTTCTTGTTTTGGAGATCTTCTGTGTGAAATCCCTGCAATCACTCCGGCTAGAAAAGCACTGACATTGCTGCTGGCTATTGCCGCCTCAAGTCATTGTGGTTGTCTGTGCAACCCTATAACCAGGGAGGCCTTGGGCGAGGCCACTTGAGAGATGGGTGCGGAAGAGAAAGTGGCCGGCTCGCATGTGTGAACCAGTTCCTTGTGATCATAAGGAACCAGATGGTAGAGCTTGCCTGGACCAATTAATGGACTACATAAGGGGGCAATCTGGTTTATGGAGTACCTGGTTCACAATCTGGGAATGCTTTGTACCTCCTGTTCATATGTTTAGCAAACGTCCTGATATAACAACAACAACAACAACAACAACTTTGCAACACATTCTTTGGGCATTTCACAAGTGGGTTTTTCAAAATGCAAGTGTGGAAGCGTTGAGGCTTAGAGTGCAAGCCCCTTTCTCCCATTCCCTCCATCCGCTGGAGGAGCCAGAGTTGCGTGAATGTCAAGTCCCTCTCTCTCTTATGTTGCTACTGGCAGATACCTTGCTCTTGGAAGTTCAGATCTGCTAAAATGGCTTAAAGATGGTGTGTGCCTAAAATTAGCCTCAGAAGAAGCAGCAGAATTGTGCAAATAGCAAGTGTTGTTGTTGTTTAGTCGTGTCCGACTCTTCGTGACCCCATGGACCAGAGCACGCCAGGCACGCCTGTCTTCCACTGCCTCCCGCAGTTTGGTCAAACTCATGCTGGTAGCTTCAAGAACACTGTCCAACCATCTCGTCCTCTGTCGTCCCCTTCTCCTTGTGCCCTCCATCTTTCCCAACATCAGGGTCTTTTCCAGGGAGTCTTCTCTTCTCATGAGGTGGCCAAAGTATTGGAGCCTCAGCTTCAGGATCTGTCCTTTCAGCGAGCACTCAGGGCTGATTTCCTTCAGAATGGATAGGTTTGATCTTCTTGCAGTCCATGGGACTCTCAAGAGTCTCCTCCAGCACCATAATTCAAAAGCATCAATTCTTCGGCGATCAGCCTTCTTTATGGTCCAGCTCTCACTTCCATACATCACTACTGGGAAAACCATAGCTTTAACTATATGGACCTTTGTTGGCAAGGTGATGTCTCTGCTTTTTAAGATGCTGTCTAGGTTTGTCATTGCTTTTCTCCCAAGACGCAGGCGTCTTTTAATTCCGTGGCTGCTGTCACCATCTGCAGTGATCATGGAGCCCAAGAAAGTAAAATCTCTCACTGCCTCCATTTCTTCCCCTTCTATTTGCCAGGAGGTGATGGGACCAGTGACCATGATCTTCGTTTTTTTGATGTTGAGCTTCAAACCATATTTTGTGCTCTCCTCTTTCACCCTCATTAAGAGGTTCTTTAATTCCTCCTCACTTTCTGCCATCAGTGTTGTGTCATCTGCATATCTGAGGTTGTTGATATTTCTTCCGGCAATCTTAATCTTAAAAATACCACGTGTAGGAGGAACTATATGTTGCACTTTGAGACCGCAGAACTGCACAGATGCCCCCTTACATGTTCTCTAAAGGAGCTCCGGTCATCTCATCCATAGGCTGGCCTGGCGAATATTCCACTCCCTCCAACTCTGCTGCCTGGAGAGGCTCATGTGCTATTCTTGGTATGTTTTTTAAAGCGAGCCTTGCTGAAGCCGCTGGCAGGAAACCCACACAAATTGACTCAGGATACTCATCATTTGCTGCAGGGAAACATAAAGGAGATAGATGGGGGCAGGGAGGGAGAATAGTACCCTCAAGTATGCTGTCAACGCAGCGTCTCTGGGCATTTATCCATAACCTTGCTTCACGTAAAGAGGCTAAGAGTGAGATCGAAGTGTAAGAAATAGAACATGGAGAAAGAAAGGCAATAAGTATTGTTTGGCCGAGTTGTCGTTCAGAATTGCTGTATGCAAGCTTTCAGGTGACGCAGGTTTCTTCCCTGCGTAAATCAAAATTTAGGAATATATGTGCATGTGTTGCATCATGTATGGGCTGTACTTATAAACTTATTTATAGGCTGCCTTTATGGGCATAGTCCTTACAAGGCGGCTTACCTATCATAAAAACGCAATACCATTTAAAGCCAAACTAGACCGTTTTAAATGCTAGCAGCACAAAATTACCCGAAACATAGACCAGTTAAAAATAAATGGAACAGCAGCATGAATTCCAGAAGCTAAAAAAGCTATGCGTTCCAAAAGAGCTATTTAATTTTGGCTCCTAAAATTAAGGCCTAAATTTAAGAACTGGTTGGTTTTTTTTAAGCCTGTAGATTTTAAAATTTGCAAAGTTGAAGCCACCTGCAGTTGGGGATGAAATCTGGAATTTTAATTTTTGAGTAACTGCAACAGATGAATTAACTGGGTGGCTTATCATAAGGGATTCCATCCTTTGCTAACTAAACACTGACAGCATGAGAACTTCTCAGTTGTTGCTGTTTCGCCTGCATTTTTCATAATTCAATGGAGTTCTCTGCGTCCTTTCCATCTTGGCTTATATTTTGGGGCAGATTTCATTAATGTCATGAGTCACCCCAGGCTATTTCGAATCTAGTTACATCATAGGAATCTTATTTTATTCCAGCAGATCTTCCGTTCTAATTATATGAGCCTCCCTCGCTGACCTTTGACCTCTTCACATCCTTCAGAATTCTTGTTCTCTTCTGCTCCCCGGCCATTTCTTCTCTGTAGCAGCACACCAAGCCTTTATGGGGAGTTATGAGGATCCTGTGGTTTCTCTTCAAGAGATCTCTCCATCCTCTTACTTTTTTTGCTTGTCAGTTTAAACATGAATATCTACTGAGGGTTTCCTTATTATCTATAAGAGGGGAAATAATAATAATAATAATAGTAATAATAATAATAATAATCTGGCTGGGTTTCCCCAGAAACAGAAGGGGGGGGGGAGTTGAGTGAGATGGAAGGAACATTGCTGTAAATATTTACAGCACCATGGAGTTAAATCTGCAAAAGATGGAGCCCTTACAAAGGCTTGCTCTTGGCCTGTTGTGCAAAATTATCTGCAGTTTCTCAGCACAACGGTGGAATAGCTATACCTTCCAGCACAGGGGTCGAAACAGCTCTTTTATAGAGAGGGAAAATAATGAGAGAGAAGAGAGAGAGCATCCTGTAGTGTAAGCTGATTGAAAATAAAGGCTAACAACATTCTCTTCTCCTTTTGCCCTGGCAAGTTCCTTTGCCTATTTACAGCTGCCTGACAGGCAGAAATATAGCAGATGAAGCTTTTCCTGCCATGAAGACGAATGGATGGCTAAAGCTGCACCTGCTACATTTCTGCATGCCAGGTAGGTGTTAAAGACCCAGGAGTCCTGCCAGGAAACATTTGGCAACCTTAGCTGGGGTGGGGGTGGAAATAGTACTAGTTGTGCTGCTTACTCGCTAATTGGTTATGCTGGTGTGATCTCAATGTCTTTTTTTCTTTCTTTTAATGGGGCACCAGTGTTTGGTTAATTGTACCCTTAGGTCAGGGGTCAGCAAACTTTTTCAGCAGGGGGCCGGTCCAATGTCCCTAAGACCTTGTGGGGGGCCGGACTATATTTGGGGGGGGGGGGAATGAATTCCTATGCCCCACAAATAACCCAGAGATGCATTTTAAATAAAAGCACACATTCTACTCATGTAAAATCACGCTGATTCCCGGACCGTCCGTGGGCCAGATTTAGAAGGTGATTGGGCCGGATCTGGCCCCCGGGCCTTAGTTTGCATACCCATGCCTTAGGTATAGTGTCCATTTCATCAGCAGCCCTCAACTTCACACTGTACTTCTGAATCACAAAGGAGAAACTGGCTATTTTGAGGGGGTTGGGAATAGTGTTAGAAACTCAGATATATAAGCTAGGCGCCAAATGGCTCCTTAAACCAGGGTTGCAGTCGCCAAAACAGAATGTCCATTTGCCATTTTGGGGCAAGACAGCTCTAAAATCTTATTTTTCAAATGATGTACTGACTCTGATTATCAGTTAAACATGTGGCTAGTGCAGAAGACAACCTTGAGCTTGGTTACGAACTTTGAGAAGAAAAGTCACTTGATCCAGGGACGGTCCACATAGATATTGGCCTATTCCTGCCTCTTTTTCTTCATGGTGACACGGACCATTCATAACATAAGAATATTCTGCACAACTGTGAGCAGGGCAGTGGGGTAGGGTAAGTGGAGACAAGCTACAACAATTAGCTATAACGTTGTTCCCTGCACAGAAAAAGCCAAGTTTGGTTCCTGAAATTCGTTCCGATTCTGAAGGTAAAATATAACTGATAGAATTCTGCAGGATGTGAAATTAGTGTGTGGAAACAGTCAAGATCCAATGATCCCCAGGCATGCACCTCCAGATGGTGTAGATGTCAGGCGCCATCTTGGCACCCAGGAATCTTCACTTGGTCGCAAGTGGCCAATAAAGGTAAAGGGACCCCTGACCATTAGGTCCAGTCGTGGCCGACTCTGGGGTTGCGGTGCTCATCTCGCTTTATTGGCCGAGGGAGCAGGCGTACAGCTTCCGGGTCATGTGCCCAGCATGACTAAGCTGCTTCTGGTGAACTAGAGCAGCACATGGAAACGCTGTTTACCTTCCCGCCAGAGTGGTACCTATTTATCTACTTGCACTTTGTCATGCTTTCGAACTGCTAGGTTGGCAGGAGCTGGGACTGAGCAACGGGAGCTCACCTCGTCGCGGGGATTCGAACCACCAACCTTCTGATTGGCAAGTCCTAGGCTCCATGGTTTAACCCACAGCGCCACCCGCATCCCTTAAGTGGCCAATAGCCAGGTGCAAAAAGCGCCTGGCACCTGCCTGATTTTGAACACTGGTTGGGAAGGCCCTCCAACACCCAAGTGTGCATCTGTTGAGCAGTAGTTACTTTGTTCTGTTTTAAGGACTACGTTATCTAACACCACCCGCCATGCAGATAAGTAGCTAGCATAAAGCACAGCATGGGCATGGCTTTATAGAAAAGGCTGCTGGTATCCCTGCCTCACCAATTTTTCAGAATTCTTTGACGCTGTCAGAACACATGGAGGAAGTCACCCATTGGACTTCCAAAAAGGTTTCAACATTTCTCTTCTTTAGCTCTTGGGTAAATTTAGCAGCCGGGGAGGGGGGGTGGGAGGGTGGATTCTCGTGTGGTTCAGGAATCGATTAAAGAAAGCAAAGAATCTATGTGACATTTTAACAAATAGCAAGTTTACTGTGTCATTAGCTTTCATGGACTGAAGTCTACTTCATCAGATAGGTGAAAGGGTTATCTTAAGAGGCGCATTTATACATGGGTGGAAGAAACAGTGGGGGTCAGATGGCAGCGGAATGGATAGTGGAAGGCAATTTAATTATGTAGAGTAAGTTAAGGGAGGGATTCACAACAACAATCGCTAGTGAAAACTAAATAATCTTAGATTTTCTAGGTTGCTTGGCACTAAATTTGTAAGCTTTTGAACTCAGGAGATCTGGGCCTCAGGGATCTATCCATTCTTAAAAATGCCTGGAAGTTAAATGTTTTGAGAATGCTTGGCCACATGTTTCTGTCCAGGGTAACTCCAACAGCAGAGGTGTCAGCGGATGATATCGGTCGTGTGGCTATCCCTCCAAATATTTTAGGGAAATGTTTTAGGGGACCGTCATCTGACACATTTCCCCAGTTGGTGCAGATGATGACTTCTTGCTGTTGGTGTCTGTTGGTGTTGCAGAATGTGTTGAACTCGCAGTGCAATTCATTTTTTCCCCGCATTGCTCTGAGGAATAGATTGTAGAAATGTTTCGGCAGTGCGTTTAAAGGGCTGTTTGTTCAGAGTTCCACTCAGCACCAATGGCCTGTGCCCCCACCCTCAATTTAAGGAAGGTGGAAAGTTGTTTCAGCCTAACTGAGTTGTCCTTCGATGCCGTCACTCGCCGACACGCCTCAGGTTATTTTACGAGCAGATTGCCATCCTGTGTAATATAGAACATCCATCCATCTTTGTTTTGGCTGCTCATACTTCTGGACTGCGCGTTAAATGCAGAGGCAGCTTCTCCAGCATAGTTTGGTTCAGGAAAAAGACTGACCCACGCCTCTGAGAACACCTGAGTAGTGTTTCAGAAATGCTACTTTATTGCATGAGCTGAAGTAAACTGCTTTTTATGGAAGGTATGTGGCATTTTTGCTTTGCAGTACTTTGGGGGGAAATGTTCAAGTGCCACCAATTAAATAGGACTATTCTTGGATTTTCCAAAATTAACTGGTTTGAAAATTCTATCTGTTTACTAGAACTTACAGTACAGTATCATTCCTAGATTTTTATAGGGAGGTAAAAGGAAGCCGCAGTCAGAGTTCTTTTTATCTATTTAGGTCTTTCGGCGCATTATGTTCCAGACATTTAAAAAACAATTGCAACCATAAATGGCTCAGTTGCTCCCTCGAAAGCCTCTAGATAATGTCTCATTCAGGAGCTGCCCATGTAATCCACTCTTGCTGTCTTCTCCAGAAGGATGTGAAAGAGGAAGAAATAAAGCAGCATATTAGCAGGATATCTCCAAACTCCAGTACACTAAAGCAGAACACTAGGTCTTTTTGGGTCCAGACTTTTGAGAAATAGGAACTCCAGCTCAGGTAGACATTTAGCTAATATTTTGAAAGGGTAGCTTTTGGAGGTATGAGCTTTCAACAGAAAACTGCACTCAAAATAATATCCTTTAAATTCTGCTCCAATTTCTAGATAGCTTTCCGCCGCTCATGTGGGAATACTTTGAACCTGAGGTGCAAAACTCTCATCTGAGGCGTGTTTCACGCATGAGTCACATGCATCCCTTGATCTTTCTGTCAGCTCTCATTTGATTGACTGTTAAATGTGTCAGCTACTAAAAAGCCCTCTGTTTGTGATGGCAACTCTTTGCTGCCTGTGGTGATGGTCCATTATGAAGTTTGACAGTCATGAAGTAGGGAAGGGCATGCATGTATGTATGGATCAGCCTGGAGATAGGTGTGACTCCGGCTAGATTTCCAACTTTTAGAAAATACTTCCGTCTCAGCTACTTAGCTCCTGGCTCTCACATATGTCTATGGGTTAGACCCAATCTAGTTCTCTGTGCACAGTGACTCTGTGTCAGGAGCAACTCAAACCGTGGCTTGGAGTATCTTCCCACAGCCATGGTTGTACTGCTCTAGCACATTTTTGTTTGCTCGTAGGTTTGGACTCCTGGCTTTGACTTCTGGCTTAGGTGTCTCCCTCACCCCACTAAAAAACACCCCCCAGCTGACCACTGTCTCACTCCATGACCCAACTACTGACCTTTGGTTCCCATCTCCTGATTTCCCTCTGACAGCTGGTTGTGGCTTAGCTCTGATACAGAGCTGGGTAGAGTGTGGTGGTTCCTAACACACACACTGAGAACCGAGTACAGTGGTACCTCGGGTTACATACGCTTCAGGTTACATACTCCACTAACCCAGAAATAGTGCTTCAGGTTAAGAACTTTGCTTCAGGATGAGAACAGAAATCAGGCTCCGGCGGCACGGCAGCAGCAGGAGGCCCCATTAGCTAAAGTGGTGCTTCAGGTTAAGAACAGTTTCAGGTTAAGTACGGACCTCCAGAACGAATTAAGTACTTAACCTGAGGTACCACTGTATTTCCAGAGCCTTACTTGACCTTGGATAAGCTGGCAGCACAGATGAACATTGAATTGGGTACCACACATAGCAAGGGGCTCTTGGGCAAGCTGTGTACAGCAGCTTGCAAGTGATGTGCAGGTGTCCTGGCATGTGCTTTTCCTGCCATTAAAGGCTTTCCAGTGTGGAGAGCCAGTGTGGTGTAGTGGTTAAGAGCGGTGGACTCGTAATCTGGTGAACCGGGTTCGCTTCCCTGCTCCTCCACATGCAGCTGCTGGGTGACCTTGGGCTAGTCACACTTCTCTGAAGTCTCTCAGCCCCACTCACCTCACATAGTGTCTGTTTTGGGGGAGGAAGGGAAAAGGAGAATGTTAGCCGCTTTGCGACTCCTTCGGGTAGTGATAAAGTGGGGTATCAAATCCAAACTCTTCTTCTTCCCTGGGCTAGACAGGCAGGAAGTTATCTGTAGCCCATTTTAGGTGCCAGCCTCCCAGCAAAGCCATGGAACTCCTCACCCAAGAAGCACTTGTGAGAGGTACATCCAAGCCAAAGTAGCTGCCTTGGAAGGAGCAGAGGTTAGTAAAGGTAAAGGGACCCCTGACCATTAGGTCCAGTCGTGGCTGACTCTGGGGTTGCGGCGTTCATCTCGCTTTATTGGCCGAGGGAGCCGGCGTGCAGCTTCCGGGTCATGTGGCCAGCATGACTAAGCCGCTTCTGGCGAACCAGAGCAGTGCATGGAAACGCCGTTTACCTTCCCGCCGGAGCGGTACCTATTTATCTACTTGCACTTTTGATGTGCTTTCGAACTGCTAGGTTGGCAGGAGCAGGGACTGAACAACGGGAGCTCACCTTGTCGCGGGGATTCGAACTGCCAACCTTCTGATCAGCAAGTCCTAGGCTCTGTGGTTGAAGCAGTGGTGAAGTACCACCAAAAAGCTTCTTCCCATCTGGAGAGAACTGTGGCTCCTGGGAGCTGCTACTAGACTGCATCTGTGCCCTCCGAGGCACCATGAGATGTGATGGCAGGGTGATCCTTACCCTGGATCTCTAAACCTTTGTTCATGGGCACCTAATCCTAGCCATAAGGGCCCACTTTGGGTATTCCCAGTGCTGCTGACAACTGAATGTTCTTCAAGCTGAGAGCAAAACAACAATCCCGTTGGGATGGTGTGAACTAGTCACCGTCTCCTCCGGTGATTCGGTAGGGGAGGGAGCTGGAGGCAAAGGAAACAAACACATCAGCCTAGAAAAAGAAAGCATCGTTTATTATTTAGAGGGACTCGATATGTTTGGAGATGCTGAGAAATGCTACAAAAGTGACTTGCACTTTCTGATCCTGCACTTCCTCAGTGCATCCAAAGTGGAACTTTTGCATCTTTCCCCACACTAAGATTCTCAAGAAGATGCCTTTCTATTCTGTGGGGAGATTGATCACCCTGAATCTTTGTGTTATCTAAAGGTGATTTCTTTAAATATTTTTTAAAATTAGGATTTATAAAGAAAAATACAAAGATTATTATCAAATAGCTTTTTTTTGTCCAAACTAAAACAATAATCTGAAGGGGGGGGAGAGAGGAAAGAGGGTAAAGGAAAAAAGAAAGAAAGAGGAAAAGATAGAGAAAAAGGAATAGAAAAAGATTTCAGAGAGAGAAGTAAAGAAGCTGAAGAACTTTTGATTCTTCGTCTGACTTCTATATATAATTATTTACTTCATTCATTCCAGTATAATTTCAGTTTTTCTCTCGTTTCGTTCTGTTTGAAATCCATAGCCCAATTCAGTCATTTGATTTCTCTCCCCATTTCCATGTATGCTGGATACATTTGAGGAGGACGGATCATGCCCAATAGCTCTGTCTTCCAAACTTTTTGTGTTCAGTGCAAACATGGAAAGGGGTTTTTCTGCGTGTATACAGCTGTATATACATTAGCTTCTCCAAATGGTTGGACACCCAGATTTCATGAAGAACCTTTTTTAGCTTCCAGATGTTCCTAAGTACAACTTGCATCATCCGTGGCCATTGGCCATGCTTGTTGGGGCTGATGGAAGCTGTAGTTCAGCAACATCTGGAGCGCCAAAGGTTGTCACCTCTGGCAAGGCACACAGATCTCCTTTCAACTTGCACAGAACCATGGAAATCTGATAGATACATATAGTTTGTGAGAGAATGAGTGAAGCACTAATACTTGCTGTCAGTGATATCCTGTTGGAACAGATGAGACTTCCCATCTGAAGAAGTCTGAAGCTCATTATGTGTGGTGCCTCCTGTACTGGAAAAGGAAGAGCATTTCAGAGGGTGGGTAATACCGCAGAAGAGACCCACATCTGAGAAATTGTTAAACAACAGTTTGCCAGTGGTGGTATGGTTAGCAATGCCCCCTCTGAAGATTTTATGGTTCAGCTGGGTATACAACAGAGTGGTCGTGTTTTGTAACTTCTGAGAAACCTCTGTTGTGTTTTTCTTTCTTGTATCTCCCTTTTAATTTTGCATTAACAAACTTTTATGGCCCCGGATCATCTGCTTGGTCCACTAAGTATTACATACGTAGTATTTTGAAACACAGGGGGAATTTGAAGTAAAGGGCATTTTGACAGGTGTGGTCTCATTTTATCTAGTGGTGTACTTCTTGTGGTTTTCATTATGCTCAAGATGAGATGAATGGGATACTGTTTTAATGTGCCTTGGAACATTATTTCTGAACTGTCACTGCCAGATACTTTCTGCAGCCTTGGATGGATGCAGACCAAAGTTAGTTTGTGTGTGTGTGTGTGTGTGTGTGTGTGTGTGTGTACAGGAAGCTTTCCAGTAGAAATGATTCAGTGCCAAACTGCTCTACACAGGGTTTTAAAAGTGATTTGACTTCAGTGAATTGATAAAATCTCAAGAACGTTTTGAGCACCTACATCATGAACGGGAACTCTGTGGCCCTCCGGATTTTGATGAGCTACAGCTCATCATCAGCTCTGACCATTGACCATGCTGCTTGAGGCTGATGGGAGCTGGAATACATTAACATAAGAGGGCCACAGGTTCCCTGTCCTACGCATACACACTAATTTTACACATATGCTGGTGGCTTCTGTGAATTGGTGTGACCAGCCCCACTTAGACAACACATAGTGGATTTCGAAATAAATCTAATCCGAGACAAAGAAAGGTGGAATTCCAGACTGTTAGAGCCACACCCCATAGCTGAACATTGGGGGGGGGGGTCATTCACAAGCAGGTTGAAGTCAACTCACTTCTGCATATAGTAACTGCCCTGTTATTGGAAGAATCATCACAAAGTTACTTCTCATGGGGTGAATATTTCATTTTAATATGCCTGTTTATGATTCAGAGCAGATATTTGCACCATGGGGGGGGGGGAGCAACGAAAATTAATTTGCCCTGATAGGTAAGTGGCAACCTTTGCCAACAAACAGGGCATACAAACAAAATAACCCCAAGTATGGTAAAATTGCCTTATGTTGACCTTTCTGTATCAAAAACAATGGGTGGAACTGGGCGATGTTTTAAGACCATTGAGAAAAATGAAGAGTCCATCATTCCTCCAGGGGTTGTTGATCCTCTCCTGATTTCATCCTCTAATTTTAGTAAAAGAGCTAAAAGCATGCATGTATGTATGAAAAAACGAATAGCAAATCATGAAATCAGAAATACATACGTTGCTGATAAGGATAGGAGCTGCTATTTGGCAAACTGTAAAACACTAGGTAAATAAAAAGGTTTTCAACTGGTGCCTGAAACCTAACCATTTGGGAGACAAGACACACCTGAGTCAAGGCCACATCACAGAGAAGGCTGCCCTGTGTATCCCCTCACCCTGAATCTTGGCAGGGTCTGCAAGCAGATTTAGTTGTCTGATGTTGCTGAGATTTGGGTCCCAAGCTGTTTAGGACTTGTATCCGTCACTAGCGCTTTAAATCAGATCTTGAATCTGAAGCCTTGAATTGAGGTTAGAATAATATACATGCAACTGTTGCCTCAGCAGCTCAAGGAAATCGGCATTTGCTACAGCCAGCTAATCTTCTCTGTCCTGCTGTTCCCCGGCATCATTTTTTTAATTATTTTTTTATTACTAAGGAAAACGACTGGCTTAAATTTGGCACAGTTCCTCCATCCCCACCAAGAGTGCACGAGGCATTTCCTCAGATTAATCCTGCTACAACAGAACCTCAGCTTCCCTCTCTGGTTTCTAGCAAACCTTTTATTGATTATAACGAAAGCTGTGCAGCGGAATAGTACAGTGGTATAGGATCTGCTTAGTTTTCAGTAGAGATAGTAGGAGGAACGGCCGAGTCTGCTACCTAGTCTGGAACGTTCTTGGATCTTTGTTGACCGAGGAACAATGAACATGCTGCGCTGCTGAACATTGGAGTGTTAGGCCTTCCATTTTGTAACGTTCCTTCCCTTTGGTCTGACAATTTCCCAGCATTTAAAGGTGAGACAGGCTTGTTTTTACCAGCCCACAAGACATTTACAACAAAATTATACTTCACTTTTCCTCTGAGGAGGTTAAGGTCAGGTACATAGTTCAGAGCAGCCCCTATGAAGCTGAGAGATGGTGACTTGCCCAGGGTCACCCAGTGAGCATATCCTCGCCCATTTATGTTAGCTAATTACCTGTGGCATATTGATGACTTGAAAGGGAGGGGAAACTGTTTTTACTCATCACATACAACCAGAATAGTAGCTCTTAATAAGCCTGAAGAGAGAAGTGGATTTTGATATGGAATACTATTGCAGAAAAGAGGCAAGGAATTTTAAAGCCTCGACACCCCATGATGGGGTCCATTTGTCCAGGAGATGTTGTTTCCTGGCAGAGGAGTTGTTTAGTTGTTGTTTTGCCATTACTGTGATAACAAGTGGCTATCAAGTGAGATTCTGATTTCAGAAGCTGACAAATCTAAAACCAGCCAGGGCAAGTTTAGGACAGTTGTATCTCGAGGTGGTGATCTGTTTGGGTTAAGATCTGTGTTTTCTCACTTGACATCCAGTCTAATAACAACACATTTTCAAACTGCCCAGTTCTAATCTGCTTTGAACTTTCACAGTACCATATTTTTCGCCCTATAGGACACACCTAGATTTTTTTTGGGGGGGGGGGGAATAAAGTAAACAAATTTTATTTCCCCACCCCCAGGCGTGGGGCTGGGGTGGGGGAAGCCCGAGCTTCCCCCGACCCCAGCCCCCAGAACGGGTCCCAGAGCGATGCCGAAGCCGTGGGCAGCTTCAGCATCGCTCTGGGAGCTTGCGGCTGGGGGAGGGGGAAGCCCTCCGCCAGCCTCCAAACCACGTCGGGAGACAGCGGGATGGCGCGCTGCGCCTCCCCGCTGTCCCCCGAGCTTGTGGGGCTGGCGGTGGGGCTTTCGCTGAAGCCGGGAGAGCGATAGAGGTCGGTGCGCACCGACCCCTCTCGCTCTCCAGGCTTCAGCGAAAGCCTGCATTCGCCCCATAGGACGCACACACATTTCCCCTTCATTTTTGGAGGGGAAAAAGTGCGTCCTATAGGGCGAAAAATACGGTAGGTACATTTCCCCTCTTAGCCTCTAAAATAGACTTTCTTTCTTTCTTTCTTTCTTTCTTTCTTTCTTTTTTTCTTTCTTTCTTTCTGGCATGTATTGCATTTTCCCGAGGTAGCTGTCAATTGGATAAGGAAACTACCAGTGTTCAAAGCCTTTCTCTCACATTTTTAACTTCTCACCATATTAAGTCATCAGCAGGGTTTCTGCCTTCTGTAGATAGGTTTTGGCAAGAGATTCTGCATTTTTTAAAAAAAAATAATAATCTTGGGATATAGTTTACTTGCCTGAGTCACCACATCTTTCTTGCCAAAACTAAAACTGCCATCTTGGGGACGGACGGCACGTTCTGCCTCAGCCTCATGTCTTCAACACCCTGCTACTGTTTCTCCTCTGCAAGTTGGGGTGGTGGTGCCAGAAGGTGTTGATACATGTATTGAGGTGGCGGAGAAGTGGGCAGAGGGGGCTTAACCCACCAACCCACCCCCAGCTGCTTCCTTCTGCAGCCCAGATTACAGGCCCATGTTTCTGTGTCAAAGACAGGTTGCGGCAGGATTAAACTCTCTTTGCTTGCCTGCCCACGTATCACACCTTCTGAATTCCCCCGCACCCCTACCTTCAGATGAGAATGGGAGCTGAGTGTGGAAGACATGAATGTGCAATTCCCCTTCCCCATGGCAGTTTTAATTTTGGAAGGAAAAATGGAGGAGGGGCCCCCAATGGAAGAAAACCAGTGAGCAGGAGAAGGGTTAAATATTTCTCCCACTTATTGCTCCCCCCCATGCAAATTAAGCCCTTCTAGCAGAGGGGAAGGTAAAGGTAAAGGGACCCCTGACCATTAGGTCCAGTCGTGACCAACTCTGGGGTTGCGGCGCTCATCTTGCTTTATTGGCCGAGCGAGCCAGCGTTTGTCCGCAGAAAGCTTCCGGGTCATGTGGCCAGCATGACTAAGCCACTTCTGGTGAACCAGAGCAGCGCACGGAAACGCTTCGCCCCGGAGCGGTACCTATTTATCTACTTGCACTTTGAGGTGCTTTTGAACTGCTAGGTTGGCAGGAGCAGGGACCGAGCAACGGGAGCTCACCCCGTCACGGGGATTCAAACCGCCGACCTTCTGATCGGCAAGTCCTAGGCTCTGTGGTTTAACCCACAGCGCCACCCGTGTCCCATTGCAGAGGGGAAGCAATGGCCAAAACTCATTGACTAGACTAGGGTGAAACAGAAGGCAGTTCCTCCCTTGGAAAGTTAACGTTGTTCTTCCTGCCCTTTGTCCGTGTTAGACTAGCTACATTTTTGTTGTTTTTGAAGTTAGATTAGGTACATTTTTGTTGTTTTTGAAGTTATTTATTTGTTAATTTATTCCATAAACTTTATACAATTCTTTATTGCAACTAGCTACATTTTTGTAAAGGTTTTCCTTATTCTTAGTAACAATGGGGGTCCTCTTAGGACTGCCACGTTTTGTTCCAGCGTGGTTCTTGTGCTTTTAATTTTGGTGTAACAGTCTGAAATCCAACAGACACACATACAGTCGTACCTTGGTTGTCGAACTTAATCCGCTCGACTCCCGAAAGGGTTCGAAAACCAAGGTACCGCTTCCAGTTGGCTGCAGGAGCTTCCTGCACTCAGTTGGAAGCAGCAGAAGCCTCGTCGCACATTCGGCTTCTGAAAAAATTTCGCAAACCAGAACACTCACTTACGGGTTTGCAGCGTTCAGAAACCAAAACGTCCCAAGTACCAAGGCGTTTGACAACCAAGGTACAGTACGACTGTACAGTGATAGAGAAATTCCCCATTACGATGAGGTTTTTTTTAATGAGAATGCAACTGTTAAAGGTACTGGAACCCACTTAGTTTTAGTTTTACAGACAACCATAGGTATTATAAAAGGGCTGTAGAACAGGATCTAGCAACACTCCTTCACAGGCTTAGGCTTGAATCCTGCACACCTTTACCTGGAATTCACCTTGAACTCAAGTGTGACTTACTTCTGAGTAGACATGGGATTGTGCTGTTAGTGGATGGACCTCATGCCTCAAAAGTCTTCATTTCATATAAATTCTTCTGATGTGTATTTTTTGAAGTTGAAATAGCTTTAAGAAAAATAAATGGCTAAAAATGAATAAATTGCTAACAACTTAAAAAGTGCTAGCTGGCAAGTTGACGCCAGCTGTTTGCCAAGTTTGGAAAGAAGAGCTATATATGCAGAAGTTCATTCAGCAGTAATGCAAAGATAGAGCTTGGTATTTTTGTCATTTATTTTAACCTTGCACCTGCAACACACAAGTGCTTCTTGGTTGAGAGAATAGAGTTACAAATAATACAAGTACAAATAGGTACAAATAATAACGTTGCTGTTGTTGTTTATTGATGATGTTGTTATCATCTCAAGTCCAATAAAACAACAGCCTAGCTGATAAAATACAACGGATAAAGATTTTTAAAACTGTGTCAACTCAGAGGTAGGGATGGCGGACAAATTAGATTTAATTCACATTGAAAGGCAATCCTACCTAACTACAAAACATTACACGAACTGAAATTCAGGCATTGTTTGAATTCACACTTCAGATTTTTCTTTGCAGTTCTCTAGCCAAGCAGTCTTCACTAACACACATATGCTAGGTCCAAGTGCTCATACAAATGTATTTATTAGTGGAAGCAACATTGGAAAGGCATTGAATTAGGGAAAATTGCTTTACAAAAATGTGTAGATTATGCAAAACTGCATAAAAAGCCTATGTAGTAGTATAAATTTGCTGATGAATTTTCACGAGGACTTAAAAATAATAATCACAAACTTATGTGGGATTGTGGAGAACTGAACTAAACATTAGAAAAATGGGAAACTGAGTTTGACCAAATTGCCAGTCCCTACTCAGAAATCAGGGACGGGGGTGGCGCTGTGGTCTAAACCACTGAGCCTTGGGCTTGCCGATCGGAAGGTTGGCGGTTTGAATCCCCGCGACGGGGTGAGCTCCCGTTGCTCGGTCCCTGCTCCTGCCAACCTAGCAGTTCGAAAGCACGTCAAAGTGCAAGTAGATAAATAGGTACCACTCCGGTGGGAAGGTAAACGGCGTTTCCGTGCGCTGCTCTGGTTCACCAGAAGTGACTTAGTCATGCTGGCCACATAACCTGCAAACTGTACGCTGGCTCCCTTGGCCAGTAAAGCGAGATGAGCACCGCAACCCCAGAGTCATCCGCGACTGGACCTAACGGTCAGGGATCCCTTTACCTTTACCTTACTCAGGCCAGTAGGTATACATTTGCAGCTTATATTTCAGGCAGAGATTTTTGTGCCCCCTCCAACTTTTCTCCAGCAGGTCCCTCATACCCTGGCTGCTATGGGGTAAAACCCAGAGTCCTGCCTGCTTCAACAAGCAAAAGGGGACTGTCATTGAGGACCAGCTTTTCAGTCTGCCCCTGCAGCTATGCCTTTGAATAGCTGCACAAAAAGCAAGAATTAGCCAGCAAAACATTTCTCCTGTACAGAGGTGAACATTATCACATGCAAATTGCAATAGATCACACTATTGGTGCTTTGTTTTTTAAAGACATCGTTACAGGTGCTAGTTGCAAAGTTGGCAGCCTTAGACAGACACAAATCTGGCAACCCTACAGTTGGGTTTCATAACTGTAAGTGTTGATTTGCAGCCACTTTATAAAAATTGAGGCTTTTTATTTATCTAGGTTTATAACGGGCTCATAATTGCTGCCCTTTGCTGGGTTAGGATTTTATTTATTTTTTTGCCATTGAGAAGCAGGATACTGAGGTTTGCAAAGGTTATTATTATTATTCCAGGGATCTAGAACCTGGATGTTGGGCAGGGAAGGACAGAGGAGAAGAGACTGACTTGCAGTCTTGGGATGGGGCTGCATTAGGTGTTCCCTCCCTTGCCTTTATGTTACTTCAACTTGTTTGATCTAATTTATAACTACATGCACCAGGTTGCACAAACAGGGTCGTTTGTCATTTTTGTTGGCTATTTTCATGCACTGCTAATTGTTCCTTAAAACCAAGGAATCTTTGCTGTTTTTACACACCCACACACAGACACACTCCTCTGCTAGAGTTGCCAGTCCTTTCCCTGGCAGACATTCCATGCCTTTAAATAGCTCTTTGGCTTTTAGAAATTTAGCAGGGGAAGCTTTTTTCCCATGACTTCTTCTCCAGGCCTAGAAAAGTTTCCTCTGCGGAAATGCTGCACATCAGGCAGTTCTCCCTTAAAGGCCGAGGATCACTGCCACCCATGTAGAACTCGGTGCTCCCTCCCTCTTTCCTGCCCAAACAAATGCCATAGATTTATTCCTACAATTGCCTTCTTTTCCTTGCAGGTGTCTTTTTTTTAAAAAAACAACAACAGAACAATACTTTATTTAGAATTCAACAATAACAAAGGGAAAACAGTAGTTGTTACCGTATTTTTCACTCTATAAGACACACCTCCTAAAAAGTAAGGGGAAATATGAGTGCGTCTTATGGAGCGAATGGCGCAGCACTGAGAGGTAGAGCTGTGCAGCGCCCCTTCAGCGAAGCGGGAGGAGAAATGGAGCCCCTTCTGTTCCTCCTCCCACTTCGCTGAAGGGGCGCTGCGCAGCTCTCCCTCTCTGCGCAGCGCCTGTCCTGCAAAGCCGGAGGAGGAACAGAAGAGACTCCTTCTGTTCCTCCTCCCGCTTCGCTGAACGGGCGCTGCGCAGTTCTCCCTCTCAGAGAGGGAGGACTGCGCAGCACCCCTTCAGCAACGCGCCTGTCCTGGCTTCTGCCTTAGCCGTGCGCAGCCTCTTTGGGCAGGGGGAGCCTTCATCCCACTGCCCTGAAGAGGCTTGGCGTGGTTATCCCAGAAGCCAGAACAGCCACACGGTATCCCAGAAGCCAGATCCCTCTTGCTGTTCTGGCTTCGGGATTCAGAATAATTTTTTCTTGTTTTCCTCCTCCCAAAACTAGGTACGCCTTATGGTCTGGTGTGTCTTATGGAGCGAAAAATATGGTACATCAAATCATTACAATTAACCAATTACACGACATCACTTTTAACTTACTGAGGTTTTCCTATTACACTTTTATCTCTTTATCTTTTTCTTAACATATCAAAAGGAGAAAGACCAAGAAAGGAGACACAAAAAGGAAAAGAGAAGAAAAAGAAGAAGGAGGGGAGGAGTGAAGGGAAGGGGGGGAGGAAAAAGAAAACAAAGCAAAACAAACACATTTGGCTTCCGATTAGACTCATTGTGTTATTATTTCTACAGTTTTTTCACACACAGTTCCAAGTTATTGTATTTCTTTCTTTGTTTTCATCAGATATCGAAAAACATATTTGTTGCTTTCCTTGCAGGTGTCAGGTGCCTTGAGAAATGCGTGGCAAGCAAGGTTTCAGCTAATGCAGCTTTTCCAGATTAGAGGAGCAGCGATAGCAGAAAGTTTTGCTTCCTGCACACATGCCAACCATGCGGCTGCAGGCATTGGAGTGCTTTCAGAAAACATGGTTGCAAGCAGGGCCTTTGTTGCGTTGATTGGTGGGAGCACTTGCAGTTTGCTTGTCTCCATATCCTATCATATCAGGCATCCAGAACCTACGGTCCTCCAGATGTTTTGGCCTACAACTCCCATGATCCCTAGCTAAGAGGACCAGTGGTCAGGGATGGTGGGAATTGTAGTCTGAAACATCTGGAGGGCCGAAGGTTGGGGATTCCTGTCCTATATGTTGTTACGGGTTTTCTCTACCTGTGTTGTAACGCATCTAATACAGAAATGTGTAACATCCCGCCTCCCTATATATATGCACTTACATTTAATGCCTTGTTTGTAAATAAATAAGTAAATAAATTGCAGTTCCACACAAATTATGTTTCCATTGCCTCATCTGTGTGTACAGGCAACCCCTGATTTGTGTGGGGGTCACGTGCCTGGTCATCGTGTGTGATGGCCACTTCCGAGTCATCGCGATGCATGTGGGGGCGTCAATTGGACATGCATAAATCTGTCATTCCCTCTATGGAAAAAGGGAGGCAGCACAATACCTACTGGTACTCAAAGTCTGTCAGCAAAATCAGGCTGCTTGGCGCAGTTTCTTCCCGTTTAACCTCCGTCTTTTGTTTCAAGATGGGAGCTCCATTTTAGAACTCCCAATGTGGAAGACAGATTTCACAGGGAAGAGAAAAATTAATTTTAACTGCAGTTTCTGTTAGAGGTTTATCTTGAAACGAGGCTTTGACAAAATACCTCAAAGACTTGCAGAATCAAAGCACTTGGATGTCTCTTTGCAGACTGTCAGCTGGTGCTAAAATATTTTCACCAGCCATTTCACATTTCATTTAAATCATCAAACAGCTCCAGTTCACAGTTGTACATAAAGCCTAACACTTCCCTCTTGTTCCTTACTTTTGATCATGTATTAGCCCTGGTTGTATTGTCACGCAAAGTTTTCACCCGGTGTTGCTGTTTTTTTTAATTGCCTGTCTCTCTAACTACCAGACAGTTGCTCTTTTGAAATAGCGCAGGCTGCTCTTCTTTTCATTCATCTGCCCTGTTCTTTGCTAAGGCTGTTTGTGCTGAACAATTCACTTCGATTTTGCAAAGTGTTCCAATATGTTTTAGCTCCTATTATTGCTGAGAGATAACCCTAAGGATTGTTATGAGTTTGAGAGTGGGGAGGAAGCAAGATGTATTTGAGATCCTTCTAACCTCTGGATGCAGCAAATTCCAAAGGAAGAATACAATTACAAGATAATAAATGAATAATCATAGAAAGTTTTAAAAAGAATGAGTGGTGTAAAAAAATACATGGTTTATGTTGTTTAGTCGTTTAGTTGTGTCCGACTCTTTGTGACCCCATGGACCAGAGCACGCCAGGCACTCCTGTCTTCCACTGCCTCACGCAGTTTGGTCAAACGCATGCTGGTAGCTTCGAGAACACTGTCCAACCATCTCGTCCTCCGTCGTCCCCTTCTCCTTTTGCCCTCCATCTTTCCCAACATCAGGGTCTTTTCTAGGGAGTCTTTTCTTCTCATGAGGTGGCCAAAGTACTGGAGCCTCAGCTTCAGGATCTGTCCTTCCAGTGAGCACTCAGGGCTGATTTCCTTCAGAATGGATAGGTTTGATCTTCTTGCAGTCCATGGGACTCTCAAGAGTCTCCTCCAGCACCATAATTCAAAAGCATCAATTCTTCGGTGATCAGCCTTCTTTATGGTCCAGCTCTCACTTCCATACTTCCATACCATACTACATGGTTTATATTGGTACCAAATATTCATGAATGTTGCCAAATAGACTCATATTTAGTGGTAATGTGCCAAGCCAAACTCTATTTTAAAGACATTCTTCCCCTCTGCCAGGTTTAGGTCAGCTCAGCCAGAACTTGTGATGTAGCAGAGTTTGTCTTTTCTGAAAATGCATCACATATGCAGGGGGCATAAATGCGAAAAGGAACGGCTTCAGGGTAATCTCTCTCAAGGCACAGAGGAATGATGGCAAGCCATGCATGCAGAGAACCCATGTTCCTTATCAAAGTCACAAGGATTTGACAGACATATAAATAGAAACCCCCTTAAAAAAAAAAAGACTTGCAGAAAGCAAAAAATGCTGAATGACAGGCAGGCTGTGACTTTTGATAGGTAATCTTTCTCTCTCTCAATGCATGGCACCAGAGGGCGTCCAGCATTGCTTGTGGTGAGAGCCGATTCCTACAAAATTGCTTTTAGATGCTTTGTTTATATGCTAGAATCAGCATAACCTGCTTTGGCAAATCCAGGAGGTATGTGGGAGATGAAGACATCAATGTATTCATCCATATCAGCTTGAATGGGCACTACTAGCATTCCTGGTGAAGGCATGTGTTTCTTGAATTTCTTCGGTAATACAAAATACCTGCTTTTTTAAAAATGGAAATATTAAAAGTATATTCACTAATAGTTAATGTGGTACGTTGCTCCGTTATGGGGAGAAGGGAAGTGTGTGTGTCTCTTTTTCCAAGTACAGTGGTACCTCGGGTTAAGTACTTAATTCGATCCGGAGGTCCATTCTTAACCTGAAACTGTTCTTAATCTGAAGCACCACTTTAGCTAATGGGGCCTCCTGTTGCCGCCAGGCCACCGGAGCACGATTTCTGTTCTCATCCTGAAGCAAAGTTCTTAACCTGAAGCACTATTTCTGGGTTAGCGGAGTCTGTAACCTGAAGCATATGTAACCTGAAGCATATGTAACCCGAGGTACCACTGTGCTTGCAAAGTGATGTAAAAATTCAGCTCTTTAAGAAATGAAGCTTTTCTCCCAATGGGAAAAAAGTGGTGGTACGTTAAGAAAATGGAGATAACAACACAGTAAGCCACATTTCGTCCACAGGGGCATCTGATAACTTAGGCCTGGTTTCGACAAGCCTCAGATCATGTGATAAAAGCTGTTCCTGGCTCTGTTATTTGGACCAGCAACAGAGGATTTGCATGTTTGAATGTTTGCGGGGGGGTGGAAATGTTAGGATATTTCCGTTCCACCTTAAAAGGGAGCAGGCTGTGAGTCACAGAGTCTGCGTATTTCCTGTTCACAGGATGTTTATGTTTTATGTTGCTTTCGTTTTCTCTCTCTGTGTCGTAGACACTAAAGCAGGCAGTCATGTTTTTCTGTGTTCTGATCAACGCTGAATAAACTTGTAAATAATGATCTCCTGAGTGCAACTTTTGGCTGTGCATTATCTGCTGATAGAGTGTGCATGAGCTCTGGAATGTGGCAAGATATTTTCTAGAAACTCATGTTGCTGCGTGCCTACAGGAGGTCGATGGATCGTCCGGCAGACGGCTTGGGGGCCTTGATGGACTTTATCTCCCTGGCAGTATCCCAACAGGAATAGCGTGTCAGAGTGAATGCTAGGCTGGAACCCTGTTCCTCGACGTCCAGTTCTTTATGAGTAGAGAGTTTCTTTAAATACAGGAAGATTCAATCATGCTGCTGCTCCCTCCTGCAGTCTTTCGATAGCTCTGTCGGTAGAGTGTGAGATTCTTCACCTCAGAGTTGTGTGTTCAAGTCCCGCATTGGGCAAAAGATTCCTGCATTGCTGGGGTTGGACAAAATGACCCTCGTGGTCCCTTCCAACTCTTATGATTCTGTTATCTGTGGAGAAGGTGCTGCCCATGTGATTTGCTCTTTGCCCACGTGACCTGTCATCAGCACTGTATTCGCCAGTTAGGGCCAAACCGAGATGTAGATGCAGCATATCCAGATGTTTTAAAGCCTGGATTTGCCCAAACTGCATATAAAGGGGTGGAGGGAATATGGTTTTTAAAAGCAAAAGTGTTACGTGGGCAGAGACCGCTGAAGGTGGCAGTGCATCTACCCAGACTCAGTTCCCCCCCTCCTTTACTTGAGCTATGCAACGGAAAGTTCTTGGGCAAATGCGTCTAAGAACGGCAGGGGTCAGCAAACCTTTTCAGCAGGGGGCCGGTCCACTGTCCCTCAGACCTTGTGGTGGGCCGGAGTATATTTTGGAAAAAAATAATAAACAAATTCCTATGCCCCACAACTAACCCAGAGATGCATTTTAAATAAAAGCACACATTCTACTCATGTAAAAACACCAGGCAGGCCCCACAAATAACCCAGAGATGCATTTTAAATAAAAGGACATTCTACTCATGTAAAAACACGCTGATTCCCGGAACGTCTGCGGGCCAGATTTAGAAGGCGATTGGGCTGGATCCAGCCTCCAGGCCTTAGTTTGCCTACCTATGACCTATGGCAGCAGAGAAGGTGTACGTAACCAGCAACACGGACAAATGTTGCACTGTTTGCCATCACCAGCAATAGGAAACAAGTCATTGAATCATAAACCCTGAGTATCATCTGGTCCAATTCCCATCACCCTTGACCATCACTAGCTAGGGATGATGGGAGTTGTAGTCCAAAAACAGCTGGAGGACCAAGTTTTGGAAGCCCTGATTTAGTCCAACCCCCCTGCAATGCAAGAACATGCAGCTGTCCCATACAGGGATCGAACCTGCGACCTTCGCATTATGAGTACCACACTCTAACCAGCTGAGCTATTTCCTCAATCCTCAAAGGTATGAATTGAGGGCTGAGGTGGGCAGAGAACAGCGATTGCTTCTGAAGTTCAGATTATGCCCAGGGGGACAGATCCAGAGCCTTGAGATTTCAGCATTAAGAGTTAACTTTGGGTCTTTCCTGAAAGCAGCGTGCACAGCCTAGTTCCATTTCCACCTAATGTATTCAGTGCCAGCGGACAGTTGCCCTTTCTTCCCATTCAAAAGCGGCTCGCTATTCAGAAAACCTGCAACAGCTCATTTAGCTCTTTAGTTACCAGCCTCATAAAGCCTGAGGTATAAAAGGGTGACCCTTCAGACACGAATAATGGTGGTTCCATGACTCGACACTTTTTGTGCCTCTGTTTTAGTTTAGTAATCTAGATAAGGTTTGGTCCTCCAACTAGTTCCTCTGTTAGATATTTGGCTCACAGTATTCTAACGTTCCCCCTGCTGCCCTTCTCGTGGGATAGGCAATACAGACAAAAGAGACATTGTTGTGCTGGACTTTGCATTAGCTGTCTTGACAACAGTTGGCCTCTGCACACAGTTTTCGCTTTTTATCCTTTTATTGTCGTCCGGTGCCAAGAAGAACATGGATTTTACTTTGCTTAAAAATAAAAAATATTATGGCAAGTTCCTTTGGAAAAAATCTGAGATACAGTACAACTTTCTATTTATATATCCCCCCCATACCAACCATGAAAATAATTCAATTCCTTTTTTTAAAAAAAGAACCAGAAAGATGTATATGATAAAATGAGTGCTCATTACTAAACTCTTGGCAACAAATTTCAGCGCAAAAAGAAAGGACAGAGTTGACAAGATTTTTGGCAGTTTGCTAAACAGGACCAGGGTAAATTGCTTTTTAAAGTGATTTTGGGTGGCTTTTTGTCATTTTAGCTGGAATCCCTCCCCTCCCCTGTGTAAAATACTTAGCTTGATGTACTTTATCAGTTTAATATATTATTTTAGTGTTGCATGAGAAATGCATTTTCAGTTTTAAGTACAGCTAGAATGGCTGCCATCCAAATAATGAATTAGTGAAGCAAAATGCCAAATTTCCTTTCATACTGGAGAAGCTCTGTGCATTATATCATTAAAAGAGAATCCTATATTGCAGTGATTCCCATTTAACTAAGGAAGGCAGACCCCCTGTTTTTCAAAAGCCAAAGCATGGACCTCCTACTTTGGAAAATTTTGATATCTCTATGGTATTTTTTGTTATTTGAATGGTGCCACAGACCCCCTGGGTGGGAGCTTCTGGGGTCTGTGGACCACCAGTTGGGAACCACTGCTGGTATGTTTATGACTTAAGGCAACATGGCTTTTGTGAACTGCTATTTTTTTCTGGCGGTATGGCCACCACTTGGGATGATTCCTAAACCGCTTCCAGATTTAAACTCAACTCCTTCAGCACTCCAGTTCAGCTGTACTGTATACTTTGAGCAAGAGAATAAATCTGTAGGGTCAACTAGTGTGCTCCTTCGTTCTACATACAAAGTAGACCTTAGTTGTGCTGCTGTGCCAGAGATAAGTAAATGTCCTTTCTGGGAGCTTCATATTTAGCCACAGTATGTTTTAGGTCTGTTAAGGGAAGAAACAATGCTGTCCAGGGTTGTAAAGACTGTGGAGAGAATAATTGGGTGCACTCTTCCCACCTTGGATCAAATCTGTGAACATGGGCAGATAAACACAGGTTGAGTTATTAAGGGGCATGTGCTAAATCAGTAGCCAAGTGTTATAATCCATTAGAGCAGCTTAGAAAGCTAATTTCCTGGATTCTGAATCACAAAAGGAGACTCTGTGAGTACAGGGTGCTCCTAACTTCAGAAGTTCACCACCCAGTTTGCGGAGCAGGGTGGTGAAAGAAGGGAACGTTCTCCTTTTCAAGATGGTACTCGTGTAGCGGGCTGTAACGCCTGCAGAGGCCTAATCAAATCGCCCGGTGCCAAAACTCAGATGCCCTTGACCTAAACACTTGTGACCAACGCCACTTAGGGTCACAGGAATTTGCCACAACTCCCTCTTGTTTCACCTTTTGAGCTTTCCTTCATAGTTAGATTTGGCCAGTGTCGGAAGCAACTGCATAAGTCATTCCTTCCACCCAAACGGACTCGCGCTTCCAGAACCGCAGCCTTCCCCGCCATCCCATGACTGTGCCAAATGGCTTTTAAAAATGAGCGAAGCTTCAAAAGCAATTTATGATATAGCCCAGACGGAGGTTGCTCTAAGTATGACTGACAACTGAAGAGTAGCTTCTTGGATCCTGGCCGTTTCACGTGCTCTCCCTTTTCTGCTCACATTTCTGGTGCAGTTGTGATGAATGTGCCACTCGTTGCTACTTTGTCGTAGTTAGACGGAGCCATTTCTTTTAACGCAGAGAGGGCCGCTATAACAATAGTTTTCTATGAGGGCAAGCGTAACCTTGCCTACACAGGTCAAGCGGTTGTTTGTTTTCTTTAAACTGCCTCTAAAGGGAAGGAAGAGCTCTATCATAGGAATGTGGTGAAAGCTAAAGTACATTTTAATTGTGTTCTGTGGTCGGGAATGGGCAAATTTAGAACTGTACGCAGCAGGTCTCCCACTGATAAAAAAACCCCGGGACTTGGATGGGTGGTATCGGGACAATGCACAGCTAACTTCATTTCCGATTATGCAAGGTCTTTTGAGAACCATCAGTCCTTTGGTTTTGTTTGTTAGGAAGCTTGACTAATCATGGCGGCATGGTGCCGCAGCCACAGCCACTTCCTGAAATAGTATGGACTTAAAAGTAAAGGTAAAGGGACCCCTGACCATTAGGTCCAGTCGTGGACGACTCTGGGGTTGCGGCGCTCATCTTGTTTTATTGGCCGAGGGAACCAGCATACAGCTTCTGGGTCATGTGGCCAGCATAACTAAGCCGCTTCTGGCGAACCAGAGCAGCGCACGGAAACACCGTTTACCTATTTATCTACTTGCACTTTGACATGCTTTCGAACTGTTAGGTTGGCAGGAGTAGTATGGACTTAATTTCTAGTAATTAATTCCGTTTGGGTGTCAAGCAAATACTAACGTGGGACGTTGCTACTCATGGCTTTGAAAGTCCTGACCTGTAAAACCCTAAAAATTGCCAGATGCATTGAGAAGAATAGATCACATTGCTGATTTGATCCTCGTTTGGAAGGTTTCGTCAAGTCACGGTTCACAGGTTTAGATGTAAAGGCGTTTCCGTTGTTTTATTCTTTGTGTAAACTGTCCTGGGAATACAACTGAAGGATGGTAACAGAAATACTTACAATGCATAACACAGTATACGAAGCTGAAAGCAGAGAGGGAATGTGGAGACGCAGGGCTTGTTCCAGATCGCCCAAACCAGGACATCTGAATCTCACCAATGGGACTTAAGCCAACTTGCAACTGAGATTGGTTCCATTGATTTTGGTGAGACACTATAGCTCAGAGCCAGCTATGTTTGCACAGTGGACATAAGTCCTATTGAATTCATTTGGACTTACTCCCAGGTCAGTAGGGTTAGAACTGCAGCCTTAGTCATGACTGACGACTTTTGATGTGTTGGTGACTCACACTAATGTTTTTGCATCAAGAAACCCTGTGCAAGTACTTCTGCCTGCACAGCAAGGACCCCCCCTCCATATTGGCTCAAGGGGCTGTCAGGAGAACCCCAGAACAGCAGGGGGAGGGGGTATTATTATTATTATTATTATTATTATTATTATTATTATTCACATCTGACAAGCTGGAATGCTTGCACAAGTAGAACTGTTGGAAAAGCGCAATGTTGAATTCCACCCAGAACCACTTTTAAGAGCATTTTTCTACAAGGCTCCTCTTCAAGGCTGAGATGTGCTATTCCAAAATGTTTGATCCCAGCGAGCAACTAGCCCAGCCCAGCCCAGCTAGATAATATAACACAGGGGTCAGCAACCTTTTCCAGCTGTGGGCCGGTCCACCGTCCCTCAGACCATGTGGTGGGCCGGACTATATTTTGAAAATAATAATAAAAATGAACGAATTCCTCTGCCCCACAAATAACCCGGAGATGCATTTTAAACAAAAGGACACATTCTACTCATGTAAAAACATGCTGATTCCAGGACCATTCATGGGCTGGATTTAGAAGGCAGTTGGGCCGCATCCGGCCCACAGGCCTTAGGTTGCCGACCCGTGGTATAACAGACCAAGGGTGTGGGGCTGTTCCTTCGGAGGCCTACATTTCAGTTCACTATTTGCAGTTACAGTGGTACCTCGGGTTAAGTACTTAATTCATTCCGGAGGTCTGTTCTTAACCTGAAACTGTTCTTAACCTGAAGCACCACTTTAGCTAATGGGGCCTCCCGCTGCCACCACACCGCTGCTGCACGATTTCTATTCTCATCCTGAAGCAAAGTTCTTAACCCGAGGTACTATTTCTGAGTTAGTGGAGTCTGTAACCTGAAGCGTCTGTAACCTGAAGTGTTTGTAACCCGAGGTACCACTGTATTCCTATTCTCCCCACCTCGACCTCCACCAAAGGCATGGATTGCCCTCTTAAGTATTTTCTGCTTTCATTTTCTTACTATCTGAGGACTGCATTTGGTTAGTACAAGTGTTGTCATAGGATCATAGGCCTGTAGAGTTGGGAGGATCATCTAACCTTTCCAACCTCCTGCAATGTAGGGGATTGAACCTGCAACCTTGGTATTATCGGCACCGACCTCTAACCCACTGAGCTATCCAAGCTCTGGAAATATACATTCTGCTCAAGCGCTGACCTCTTTGGTACGCATTTGCAGTAGCACGTGAAACAACAACAAAAACAACCTCCCCTGGAAAAAGGAGAAAGTTTATGACTTATTAAGATTTAATCTGTTACTGGAAATGTCCGAAAACAGGTTGGAAGTCCTAATTTAAGCATTCTGATGTAATTTAGGGTGTAGAGTTTTAAAATAGGAAAACCCGAGGTAGTGCCCTCTTAGAACCCAGATCCTATTTTTGTATCTGAGATGGTAATTCTGGACTATAAGGCTGCCCTTAAGGAAAGAGCGGTCATTAAAGTAAATAGGAAAGGACAATAATGAAAGAGACTGACCCAGAAAAAGATTCACTGTTGGAACAGTGGTATTGCTTTAAATAGACATGTATGTCCCAGGAGCTGATTTTCTTTTACCACATGACTCAACTGGGCTACTGTGGAGGGATCTTCATCTATGATCGTCCCAGAAGCTTGAACAGAGGGCAGGGCCCTGTGGGTTTTGAACTGGTTTGATCTCTGTCAGCAGAAGTTCAGTTTTGAGATTCCTACCTTCTAAAATATCCAGCAAACACTCTCTTTTGGAAACTTTAGAACAAGCTTCTTCCTCTTTAATCACAGTCTCTTTAATAATAACTTGATTTTTCCAGCGAAGCTTTTTATAAGAATTTATTTGAAGCGTTTACTTTTTGGGCATGAGGAAAAAGCAGGTCTTCTAAGCGTATCCCAAGAACTCTTTGAGAGAACAGTTTGCAGAGCAAAACCCGATTCAAGCATTCCTTTTGCTGTTTTTAACCACCATAGTTAAATGGATCATGTTACTGCAAGGATAAAGATTATTGCAAGAATACAAAATGCTTATTTATAAAAATGGTGTCAAGGGAAAGGGGGTGTCTGCACTTTTCATTTAATTTTAAATTTACAGTATATACTGTTTTTGATCATCACTGTACACAAGACAGTTTTTCAATTGATAAATGAGTATGCATTAGATTTGTTAAGTATTCTGCAGGGCAGTATTCTGAATTGGCAAATCCCCCCAAATTTTACCCAAGTCCTGCTTTGGGTATACAGTGGTACCTTGGGTTAAGTACTTAATTCGTTCCGGAGGTCCGTACTTAACCTGAAACTGTTCTTAACCTGAAGCACCACTTTAGCTAATGGGGCCTCCTGCTGCTGCCGCGCCGCCGGAGCACGATTTCTGTTCTCATCCTGAAGCAAAGTTCTTAACCTGAAGCACTATTTCTGGGTTAGCAGAGTCTGTAACCTGAAGCGTATGTAACCTGAAGCGTATGTAACCCGAGGTAGCACTGTACTTCAGTAGCAGTGATGTGCCTTTCTCTTACTTTCTTCTCCTTTCCTTGCCAGTTTCAGAGCCAAATCACATGAGCCTTTGTGCACATGGCATGTGCTGGTGGTTGTCATTTCCTTCCTTCCTTCCTTCCTTTTGGCCAATTCAAGCTAATTTCAATCCACACTGCTCTATGCCAGAAGGGTCACGCAACTGCCACACACTGAAGTTTCACAGCTAGACTCATAGGACATATTCACACAACCCTGCTTCGTGCAGGCAAAGCCAATCCAAGCAGAATGAACAGTGCGGCTGTTGAGCACAGACGGATTTGTTAGAACGGGTCCCTTAATCCTGCGAGGAAGCTAAAGCCTTTCCTTCCCGGTTGCATTGTGTGGCTTTGCGCAGGTCGACTCTGTAGTACTGTACCTCCTCTCCTACAATCCCTTTTGTGTCGTGTCTTTTAGATTGTAAGCCTAAGGGCAGGAACTACGTTTGTAAGCTGCTCCAGAAGCTCTCTTTAGCTGAAGGTTGAGATTTCTTTTAAAAAGCTTTAAATAAGTCTTTAGTGCAGCTTGCACCTTGATAAGTGTGTTTAGGAGGATTGCAGTCTTATGGAGGAGTCCCATGCATGGTTACTCACAGGTAAAACTTATCCACACTTAATTTTTGCCCCGCCCCGTTCTTTTTTTGCCTCAAGCTTTCCTCGCAAAAACCTGCTCTTTAAAGCTGAATTGGTACAAATGTCGGCTCGAGTTTCTCCGTGGATTGATGTTTGCTCCAATTGAGCTTTAAAGAGCAGGTTTTTGCAGGAAACGCAAAACAACAACCTCAGGCACTCAGACACGAGAGCTTTAAATCGGCAACTGTGCCAGGAAAGATCAGAGGAAAGGCAAGTGTTGAGCTGAACAGCCCCCTGTTGAGCTGAACGGGACTTAGTGCTATGTAAATGTGGACAGAATTGGCTGGAATTTGTAGGCACTAAGCTTTTTACAGAGCAGGAAAAAGCACTGAAATCCTCAGCTTTGAAAGTTTGCAAGCAAACCGGAGGTTTGTTTTTGGTCTGGCTTTTTCCCCCAGCCCTTAATGCCTTGTTTCTTTCTTGCATGATGGAATCCTCACAAGGTAAAAGTAATAAAGCAGTTTCTCTCTTCTGATAACCACTCACGGCTAGCAGCTTCTCCTCAAGCAGGGACATGTTGGGTGTCACATCAGGACATGGCTGAAGGAGGATTTTGTTTGATGTTCTACCAAAACCACTTCACTGCTTGGAATGTGCAGTTCTGAGAGGCACAAGCAGATGCTTTGTAATGAGCACTAGGATTTATTCAAGACGTCTCTATGTTTGAGCCCTTCACGGAGCCCTGAATATTATTAACACCGACATAGGTAGGCTCGCAAAGGTAAAATAGCCCGAAAGGAAAATTCCTCCCAGAATAGTTTCCTGGCAGGACAACCTGTACTCCTTCGTGGAGTATGGTCAGCACAATATGGCATGTGTTGTCTACTGCCTGGTGCATGCAGTCACAGATGCCAGCGGGCACACAATCCATTGGGAGGTTTTCCAGCAAAAGCCCCATTGTAGTGAATGGAAGCTGTGCAAGATTCCACGGCGGACAAAAAGATGGCAGGCATTATTTCTGGGTAAAGTGAAAGTCTGTAATAGCATTTTCACAGCTTCTGCCCAATCACCTGTAGGTAAGGTAAAAGGTAAAGGACACCTGGACGGTTAAGTCCAGTCAAAGGCTATTATGGGGTTGCGGCGCTCATCTCACTTTCAGGCCGAGGGAGCCGGTGTTTGTCCACAAACAGCATTCTGGGTCATGTGGCCAGCATGACTAAACAATTTCTGGTGCAATGGAACACCGTGACAGAAACCAGAGTGCACGCAAACACCGTTTACATTCCTGCCACAGCAGTACCTGTTTATCTACTTGCACTGGTATGCTTTCAGACTGCTAGGTTGGCAGGAGCTGGGACAGAGCAACGGGAGCTCACTCCGTTGCGGGGATTCGAACCGCTGACCTTCTGATTGGCAAGCCCAAGAGGCTCAGTGGTTTAGACCACAGGCTCTAACAATAACTCTTCCCCACCAAGGGAGAGGTGCTCCCTCTTCCCCCTCAACCTCCTATGGTTGGAGGCCTGCATTTACTTGGAGGCAACCCAATCCCTCCCTCCCCCCCATGCACCTTATAACTTAGTCACAATCTGGAAGTTAAAAATAAAACTTGCAGTTCTGAGCATGCTTACTTGAAAATTAATTCCATCAAAATCAATAGGACTGGTGTTTTCAGAAGAATGTTTAGCATAGTATAAGAGAAGTGTATTATTATTTCTCTTTCTGAAATCTGATAGGAGGAAGGAAGCTTGTCCTGTCCCTTAGCACTTTGCTTCTCTGTGCTGTGTTCCGCCACACAAGTTATTTGTGTTCTCATTGCTGGCCATGCCAGCCATCAGTTCCTTGACAAGTTGGGAGAGCCAAACCGTCATGGATCCCTGCGTGCCCAGCTTGATGTGGCATTGTAGTATCTACTTAGTTGGTTTATGCAATGGCCATATGGTACACGGTTGCATAGACAAGCAGGCTGCCCATAAATCACCCCTCTTCAATTTGTGCAACTTCACTGGGAGCAGTGGCTTATGATGGGAAGCGTGGAAAGTATTGCTGGCTCTAGTATCTTGAGATACATTCAATTCTTCATTCAGTTTTTATGTCCAAGCTTTCAAGTTGTGAGTTATAGTACATGTTTATGCACACCATCCAACATTTCTCTGATCAAAATAGGGGTGTCCTATTCCATACCCTCCAACACTTCTCTGATGAACATAGGGATATCCTACCACACCCTCGAACATTTCTGTGATGAAAATAGGAAAAGCGGGACATTATGGGATCAAATCAGAAATCGGGACAACTTCTGTAAATCTGGGGCTGTCTCTGGAAAATAGGGACACTTGGAGGGTCTGATTTATGTAAAAGGACAAATGTTTGGTGTCTTTTTGTGTATCTCTCGCTTGCTGTCCACCCACTCTGGGCCCAATTTCCACTCATTACCTTTGAAAACTCTTAATGGCTTTGGACCCTGGTACTTAGAGAACTGTCCCCAGGTGGTAGAATCTTCATCAGATTGTTCTGTATCCTCTTGCCCTCTGAAGGTGGGTGGGTGGTGACCAGAGCGAAACTTTTAAGTAGTGTTGCTTGCTTAAGAAGCGCAGAACCATCTGTAAGGGGAACACAAATTTGTTTTAGCTCCAACTGAAACGGAAAGTTAATTTCTAAATCTGGCATTCCTCTTCCTTAATTTGCTTAGCTCGCTAGAATTGCTAAACCACTTTCAGAGAAGCAGCTGAAACATGGAGGGAATTAATCAGTTTACTAACTCAGAAGTTAATTTTCGGTTTCTGCTTGAGACGGACATGGCAGCAATAACTATCTTCTAGTTAAGATGCTTCCCTCACCCCCCCCCTTTGCTTTTTAACATTTAGTTTTAAATAAGCGGACCATAAAAAATTCACGAAATGCTTCCTCAGTTACAAAGTACGTTGTAATTTTCATTGGTATATTAGTAACAGACGCATTTTCGTATTTTTCGAGTAATTGCCAAAGGGGGCAGAAATTGCCTGGCCAAAATTAGAGTTTGCCTTGCAATTCTCACCTGTGGTACCAACAACCTTCCACCTGGAAGGAAGGTCCAACTCACATGCCTTTTGTCCCGAAGAAGGAAGACTCTTATGCATTACAGCTGGGAGTATTTTTTTTTCAGTGGCTCCCTCACATTGTCTGCCACATGGTAAAATGTTAAGGCTCTGCCATGTTTCATTGCTATTATGGGTGGACTTGGACATACTGGAACGATAATTTACCACAGTGAAATAGCCCTCAGGAAGCTTGTGGGATGTTTATGTTGCTTCCATCTTTTGTAATCTGTGCCTCATGATATTATTTTTATCGTTTCTCTGGGACGGTGCTCCTGTTCTTAACACAGGTTAACATTTTGCTGAATGGGACTCGCTCCCAGTTAAGTTTGTCCAGCTATCCCACATGCACCCTCATTGGAGCAGCCTAGGTTGACTTGATTCAACACACACACACACACACTTCATAATCTTTCCCCTTAGGAACAACGTTTCCTCATTCAACCTCCCAAATAATATATATGCAGGCCTCTGTTGATCACCTGGCTTGGGGATTAATATGCGGCAGCTGCATATGACGGGACTCTTCAACATCATAAGGCTCTGAAACTATTCGGCCAATTTGCACAGTGTTACCAAACAGCATCATGTCTGGGTAAGGGTAGTCCATTGCTTTTGGACCTAGGACACTTCTAAGGCAGGTCCAAAAACTACAGCTCCCATCAGCCACAGCAGATGTAGCCAGTGGCCAGGGATGTTGGGAGTGTTAGTACAACTACATCTGAAGGGCCAGCGCTTCCCCACACTCGCTCAAAGGCAATCCGGTGCCCCTCCAGATGTTTTGGATGCCAACTCCTATTGGCTTAGCCAGCATAGCCAATGGGAGTTAGAAGAATAGAACTGGACCCTAGTTGGACTAGGGTCATCTGGTCCAACACCCTGCAATGTAGGAATCTTTTGCTCCACGTGGGGCTCGTACCCACAACCCTGAGATTAAGAATCTTATGCTCACCTAACTGAACTATCCAGTGAGACTTCATAGTTGTATAGTCCAAAACATCTGGAGGGCACCAGATTGAGGAGGGCTGTTCTAAGGCACTCGGATCCAATTAAAAAATCATTACAATGGAGCTGTGCTCCTTGCCCCTTTTGAAACATCTTTGGGAAGGGGAAGCTTGTAGCAAAAAAGGGAACAGAATGGGAAGAGGCTAGGGTTTTTCATTAATGGACTATTTTCTCTTGACACCATCCTAAGCTGTCTCCCCGCTCCCCGCCCTGCAGGGTTCCCGACTCATATTTAACGAGGGTTCCTTTTCAAGGGAGAAACATTTACTGGACTGGCATTACTCATGATGTGTAGTTTTGCTCAGCGTGTGAGTTATTTGCAGTTGAGCTAATGGCAGCCAGAGTGCCTGTGATGTCATGCTGCTTTGCAGCCGCAGGTGACACCAGAGTAGATTGGCCAGTGTACCAAGAGGGCAGATAGCGAGGGCAGAGTTGGAGGATGAGGCTGCAAGAGAGATGAGGTCAGCAGAGAGAGAATAGATATTATGGGATGGTGGATATTATACTGATGGTTTTTTTTTTTTTTTTGAAAAAAAATACAATTAATTAATGGTACAAATCAATGTTGTCTTGCTTGCTTCTGCATGAGGCCTAGCCTCTTCAAAAGCTTCTCTCAGAGATGATGTCTCTCCTGTGTACCATCCCTGACAATAACAGAAGAGATGGACACCCTTTTCTTCCCTGGACGGACTCTGCGCCTTTAACGGTTCTGTGGCCTGCACACAGCCTGGCCCTATAGCACTTCCCAACAGGAAATAACACAACCCTGGATTTCAAAATATTAAGTGTTCTACTCCCACTTGGCTCCCGACAAGTAAACAGGCCTCTTTGTTCTCTGCTTCGCACCAACCAAGTGCCTGCGTTTTTCTCACCCACAGACAACAGACTTCCTCTCTAAGGGCAGCTTGTTGTGTTGTGTTTTGTAATTGGATAGGGAGCAGAGCAAGTAGAAAACGCACTTGCCTCCACATCACTTGTGAGAGTGCACATATGTATAAACAACCACTTTCTCCTTTAAAATCCACAGGCTTGGCAACTGGGGAAGGCTCTTCTCTGCTACTTGTGTGTATCTTGAGAGGAAAATAGTACAGTTGAGCCACCCTGGCATATTGAAAACAGAGGAGCGCCTTGAGTAGTCACAGATGAAATGGCATCTCTTGATGTTGTTGTTTTTGTAATGCAGCAGTAAGTGGTACACCCAATGCATCACAATGCTTAAAAATGTACTGGTAAGCAAATTTCATTCCCGCATAAACTCAGGTAGTTCAGTGTCTCTCAGTTTGGAAGCAAAACATGGAACCATCTAAAAATAAAGTGGTTTCTACATATTCCAGGAAATCTCTAAGAGACACATTTGTATGAACGTTTTTTTAAAACCAGCCCTGGGTTGATTGGTGGGGGGGAGGGGAGTGAATCCCAGTAAACCAAAACCAACAAAAAGTGTGGTTTAATATACACACAAATATCTCTACCCTCCTCCTTCTGCCTGGTTCACACAGTCTTGCACACCCTTAGAACTTCACACAAGGAAAATATTTTGTTCTGAGGTCCACTATATCTCTGTAACAACATAATTTAGAGTTAATATCCTGTTCAGTACCTTTTTCTATCCCCTCGCCGCGAGCAAAGTTCATGCCGTGGATTTTCAGAAGAAATGATCTGGGACGCCCACCCCAATATATGATTGCTTGAACTTTTCTTGCTTTTCTCTCTCTCATCCAATTCTTGCCATTTCAGTGTTAGCTTTGCCCGATACTGCTTTGTGGCAAAGAACTGAAATATTTTGTTTGTTTGTTTCCTTGGAGACCTGAAGGCCAAACTATAAAGCAATTTTTCGTAACCGTTGGAGGGCTTCAAGTCCGCAAATCGATAGTTACAGGAAAATGCAGCCTTTTGAGCTGAGATATGAATTACGAAAAAGGCTAAAACTGTAGCTCAATATAGGGATGAATCTATGTAATTACAGTGGTACCTTGGGTTAAGTACTTAATTTGTTCCGGAGGTCCGTTCTTAACCTGAAACTGTTATTAACCTGAAGCACCACTTTAGCTAATGGGGCCTCCTGCTGCCACTGGGCCACCGCAGCACGATTTCTGTTCTCATCCTGAAGCAAAGTTCTTAACCTGAAGCACTATTTCTAGGTTAGTGGAGTCTGTAACCTGAAGCGTATGTAACCTGAAGCGTATGTAACCTGAAGCGTATGTAACCTGAGGTACCACTGTACATTGTTCGTTAGACTGGTGGGAGTTCATGGGCTTTTATCCCTTTTAGTATTAAGGTGCAGGTGTGTGTTTGGGCATTTAAAAGAATGGGGGAGCTGTATGTTATGGATTATGTAGCCTGTGGCAGAAAGCTCATGCTCTGTTGCTCTGCTCCCCACCTCAGTAGAACAGAACTAAAAACACACACCAAGGCTCAGGATTCACTAGCATGGCACAGTCCGAAGCTTGGACTCAGCTTACAGTACATTTGCCAGCAAGGCTGGCCATTGCTGAATATAAACATCCTCTTTGGCCTGTGCATATGAGTTATGTGATAATAGAAAACCATTTCTCCTCAACAAGATTATGTCTTAAGTGTGCACTCTATGCATCATTACACTCTGCAGTTTGAAACGGGAATAGTGATTGAGCCCATTAGCGCTGCGATGGAAGTGACGAATAGCCTGATGCGGTAAACTGACCTGTGGCGCCAACACTGTGGGCAGAACACCCAGTCAAGTAGGGTGGCCATGTCTGTCCCTTTCCTATGCACATTTCCCATTTGGGAGGGAAAAATAAGGCTATGCTCAGTGTTAGGGTACCAAGGGGTTGCTTGAGAGCAAGCAGGCAAATGCCTCCCTGCTCGGCTGTGAAGCCTTGCTTTTGATGCCAAAATAAACTTTTTCTGTGCTGAGCGCCACTCTCCCGTGGCTGGCTCATTCACTGGCAGAATCTGAGAGTGGGCGGTCCTTAAACCTTCCCCAGCAGAGTAGTTTCTTGATGCCCAATCTGCTCCTCCCCTCTCGGCGTGGAAGCCTACTGCGCAGGGAGGGCGTGGGTAACGGAGGACCTCTCTCCTCCCTGCTTTGCCCAGGCAAGGTGTCCTGGCACCGCCTCGCCGCCTCCGAGCCCTGAAGCTCCTCTCCACTGGAGGCGTGGTTACTCTCCTCCGCGGAGGAGGAGCTGCTTCCCACGATCTTTGGGGGCTCTCTGTAATCCATCCGGCTTTTCCCCTCTCGCCCCTGAGCCGATGGCAGTTCCCTGACACTCAGCTTTGCATCGAGGCCAGGCGGCAGAAGATGGACCAGGTGTCTGATAAAGTTCTCTTTCTTTCTTTCTTTCTTTCTTTCTTTCTTTCTTTCTTTCACTGAAGCATCTCTTCTCTCTCATTTCAGATTATTCTGCAATGACTACAGCAAGATACAGACCTACTTGGGACTTGGTGCTCGATCCTCTCGTGTCGTGCAAACTCTGCCTTGGAGAATTTCCAGTGGAGCAGATGACAACAATCGCACAATGCCAGTGCATCTTCTGTACTTTGGTTAGTAAGCTTCAACCAATGTATGCGCCTCGGCTGGAAACGGTTCTGTTGTCCACACCCGCCAAGATCTGTGCAAAGCCAACGAGAGTTATGCTTGAGGATTTGTGGGTTGTACGTGCCGCACATGCGTACATAGTTAATGCAGGTGTGCGGGCATAGTCCCAGGGTTGTTGTGGTGCTTTTACACCTCCTGTTGTATTACCCTGGTGCTTAATACCACACATACAGAACTGTGGGAAAATTCTGGGCTGCTTCAGGGAAGATGGAAGTGGTGAGGTTTATTGGACAGAAGCTCCCAAGATGCACCTTGCTGGTTCAGTCGCTGGCGTTTGGCCTAATCTCACTTGCAGCACTTGTGAGAGGATAAAATGGAGGTAATCCTTATAGGTGCCACTTTTGCAGAGGGTTAAAAATATTATAATGATAATTTTGTGCCCATTTATGGATAAGCGGGCACCTGGGGCTTATTCAGACCCATATTGTTATGATCCGTTACCGGATTGTGAGGTTGTGTTTATTAAGTTGTGTGCCTTTCTTCATAAAAAAGCACATCTGAAAGAAAGAGGGGGATGGAATGTGTGTGTTTGTGTGTGTGTGTGTGAGGAGGGTGTCTTTGTGCTACATCAGCGACATTTCAAACAGAGAAGCCAAAGAGCAATCTCCTAAACGGCTGTGTGGAGCTTCTGACGTCTGGGTTTTGAAAAGCAGCGTGCCACAGAAAAGAAAGAGCCATCTGGTTAAGGTCATAAGTGTATTGAGAATGGCATGGGCGGGAAGCGAGTGGGCGTCGAGCTTCACCCATCTCCAGTTAAAAACAAAAGCCTAAAGTAGCTTCAGTATGTATTTACACAGGGAGAACTTGGCCGGGTCGGGTCTAGAAGGGTAGCAAGGAAGAAGACTAGTTTCAGTCAAAGAACACCACCCACTTCTACAGGTTTTTTTTCCCCTTAAAAAAGAAATTAATAGGACTGAGTCTAAGCAACAGCCAAGCAGAAAATTCTTCGGAGATTCTGGGGGTGGGTAGAGGGTGCAAAACTCCTCGCTTGGCTTAAACAAAAAATGCAACCCAAATGACTTTCAGCTTCATTCTTCTGCAGCTTCATTCTTCTTGCCCAGGTGATGCGGACTCTCTATTTCCTTCAGGCACTGTACTTCGCAGCACAGGAAGGCTTAAGGGCAACTCCGTGTTCCCTGGGCAGTGAGGTAGTTCCCCCTCACTTGCATATACAGTGGTACCTCGGGTTAAGAACTTAATTCGTTCTGGAGGTCCATTCTTAACCTGAAACTGTTCTTAACCTGAGGTACCACTTTAGCTAATGGGGCCTCCCGCTGCTGCCACGCGATTTCTGTTCTCATCCTGAAGCAAAGTTCTTAACCTGAGGTACTATTTCTGGGTTAGCAGAGTCTGTAACCTGAAGCGTCTGTCACCTGAAGCATCTGTAACTCAAGGTACCACCGTACAGTATTTCATTCACCAAAAAGCAACATTTTAGCACCAGAGCATCTAGCTCAATTATGCAAAGTTTTACAACAGCAACAAACCCTTAGCTTGCAGTTTTGTGCTCTCTACTGCTAGTTGCAGCAGGAATTTGTGCACGCATACAAATTGCTGGTGACAAGCAGCAATCATCCCTTATAGAGCAGGTAACTGGCAAAGTTTAACTATTTTCTGGACCTCCCCGTGGTTCGCCTTTTCCTGCTTACCCACTTGGTTGTGGCTGCTCGAGGTACCTGTTCCAAGCTTTTCAAATCCACGACTGGCAGCGTGACTTGCCCCACACTTCAGTTTTCAGCCTGAAAGACAGCACTGCCCACACAGTCGTTTTGCTAAAGCAAGGTTGGGGAATCTTTTTCAGTGCCGTGTTCCGTTCTGAGTAACCTTCCAAGGGGCAAGGGAGGGAGCAAACGAGAGCAGAGCAGCAACTGTTAATTGACTCACGCAGCGCTCCCTTAGCAAGCAAGGCCTATTCTCAGTTCACGGACACATTCTAGCTCCAGGAGGAGGCGAAGCAGGGTTGGTGAGCGGTGTGGCCTGGAGACAAGAGGTGGCTGCGGAGAGTTCTGAAAGCCAGTCAGAGAGGCCTGGAGCGCTGCCCTCCTCAGGTTTCCCATTGCCTGATTTGTAACTATCCGAATAGTCAACAATTCTGCGGCTACACTCATTCCACATTTGGCTGTTTTTGAGGTTCTCTTCTCTCCCCCTTCCCTCCCACTTTATCTGAAGCTTGCATTGTACTTCCATAAACCTCTGGGTTCCCCCAAGCTGGCTGACATCTCCCTTTTGTGTGTGCATAGGAGCATTTTGGCTACGTAAAGAATGGTACTGAAAGCCTGAATGTTGTAAATAAAGGGAATTATGGCAAGGGCCCTTTAAGGCAGGATTCCTAGGAGCGATTGAGCCTAGGTACAAACTTGACTGTTCTAGACTCTTTGTTGTTGAAATCACTGGGTTTGGCTTTACTTCAAACTTTTTTTATAGAATTGCAGCTCTGAGCAGCTCCCTTAAACTGGGGAGGACTAAATGCAGCTGTTAAGAGATCTGCCATTTATTACAGTTCAGTACATTGGTAGGAACTGCTGGAAGATCTCTTTCATTTTTGTGGGTGGAAAAATGAATGGAAAAAGAGCCACACAGAGATCTTTCAGAACTACATAGTCGGAACGAAGTACACATCCTACGCTAACGTTTTAGTCTGCACTAGTAAAGGATCATTATATAACTGAATAGCCCTCACTACATTGGCAACCCCTGAAGTGTTGCTGGAAAGGAGCTCATAAAGGATAATCTCCTTGACACATTAGCATAATGTTTTTGGGTTTTTTTGGGGGGGGGAATAGATCGGTTAGCTTAATTCACAACGTTATATTTTGGAACAGTTTCTATTACAAACCAACCCAATCGCCGCTAAGTGATAGCAAGAGATTCCCGGTGTGTGTGTTTGAGCACTTAACCAGGGTTTGTGTTTCCTTGTTGTGTCCCGCACCCATGCCTCTCCCTGATTGATAATTATGTGAGGGTGAGTGGCTGTTGGGGAATCAAACCATCTTTAAATTAAAACACAGTTCACGAGCTGAGAAGCACCTAAGAGTACTGCTAATTAATCCTTTCGGCGACAATTTCTGAAACTGCTTTCCTAGAATATATTCCAGTTTCTCGGCTATTAATCTCACCGTCTGCAGCCAGTCACTTCCCCTAGTCATGCTTATCCCAGCTTCTTTTAACGGGTAGCCAGCACTGTGCTCTCTCTCGGAGCAGCTTTGCGAGAGCATTTGCTGCCAGTGCCCTTTGACATGTTCTCCAGCAAACATGTAGCCCTGTGTCCTTTTTTAAGGAAGCATCCCTCTCAGCTCCATCTGAGGCCTTGTATAAACCACAGCCGTGATTAAAAATGCACTGATGCTTTGCAGGGGAATTACTTGCCAGCCGAGCAGGATTAGCGCGGTACGAAGGTTGCAGAAACGGACCCGTTTCCTCAGCCCACGTTTCACCGCTGTGTGGGCGGGAAGAGCTTTCCAAGGTTGTCAAGCTGCCTGTTATCTTCTGGTGCAGAGGAAAAAAACCACACACATAGTGCTGGCCCTGGCATAGTTGGCCAGCCTTGCTTGTAGAATAAGTGCAGTTGAAACGAGTTTGCAAAGAGGCAGGTAGAAGAGGGCAGGAGCTCCTGTTCACAGAAGGTAGAACACCTGCTTTGCGTGCAGAAGGCCCTAGATTAAATCCCTGGCATCTCCAGGAAGGGCTAGAGAACCACTGCCAGTCATTGTAGACAATATGGCACTAGAGAGAACATTGCAGATAATATGGAGCTAGAGAGTCAAAGGTCTCTTTAGTACAAGGCAGCTTCCCATGAAGAAGAAGAAGAAGAGTTTGGATTTGATATCCCGCTTTATCACTACCCTAAGGAGTCTCAAAGCGGCTCACAAACTCCTTTCCCTTCCTTCCCCACAACAAACACTCTGTGAGGTGAGTGAGGCTGAGAGACTTCAGAGAAGTGTGACTAGCCCAAGGGCACCCAGCAGCTGCATGTGGAGGAGCAGGGAAGCGAACCCGGTTCACCAGATTACGAGTCCACCGCTCTTAACCACTACACCACACTGGCTCCATGAATGAACTGGTCCCCTGCTCCCTTGCATTTGGAAGAGGTATGAGCAATGACACCCATATATGGATGTTGTTCCTCTGTACTCATGCAAGAGAATTATTATCGTTATTGCTGCTGCTGCTGCAGTTTATACACCACCCTTTATCAAAAGATACCTGGCAGTGTACAGCATTAAAAACACATTACAGAACATCGATGATAAAAACATAATAAAAAGCATACTGACAGACAGCCCAATAATAAAATAGTCATCATAATATCAGGCCCCCCCCCCCACTTTCACAGGCCATAGATTATTTAATAGCCATAGGCCTGGGTAAAGAGGAATGTTTTTGCCTGGCACCTAAAGACATGTAATGATGGCGTCAGGCGAGCCTCTCTGGGGAGAGCATTCCACAATCGGGGAGCCACCACAGAAAAGGCCCGCTCTCTTGTTGCCCCCCTCTGAACCTCTCTGGGATGGGGGACATAGAGAAGGGCCTCAGATGACAAGCAGGCTGGGTTTGTATGGGGAGAGGTGATCCTTAAGCTGTGTAAGGCTTAAGGTCCTGAGCTGTGTAAGGCTTTATAGGTCAACACCAGCACTTTGAAGTGGGCCCGGAAACTAATCAGCAGTTGCGCTGGGATTGGAGTTACATGCTCAAATGATGTCCTAGTTACTTTGGCAATAGAGACAAGGGTGCCCTCTTTCCCTGCCCCAAGCAGAGAGGATTGGAAAAACATCGGCACTAAGTGGACACCCCTCCCAAAAAAAGTGTAAAGGGGTGCTAAGCAGTGTGAACATCTGCTGTGCAATATTCTGCGCAACAACACTAAAAGAGATGTTATTTGTGACAGAGATAAAACAGCCCTCAGCGACATCTATCATCTTTATATAAAAATGCTTTAGCCCAAATGAATTATCAAGTAATTATTCTGATTATGAGAGCTCATGAGTGGTGTGTTTCATCAGTGCAAAGCATGGGTTTTGCCTTTCTTGTACTATATTGCTAGCTTTGATGTATGGATATGTTGTACGCCGCCGTACAAGCATGCTACCTCTGGCTATTTATGTGTAGCAACAGCTCATTGTGTTATGCGTTGTGACACAGCTGCCATCCTTGCCCACTTAGCAGTTTATCTCTGCACTAAAAAAACAAACAAACCTGGTTATAGTGGGAATGAACCTGAGTTGTTGTTGTTATTTATTTGTTAAATTTGTATACCTGCTTGTAGATCTCAGAATAATTCATGGGTAGTATAATGAGTATGGGTTGCTCGTGCGTAAGTTGCCGCCTCTCCAGGCTTTGTTGCCTTGGTAAACCTTTCAGTCTGGGCAGCCCTTCACTTCGTGGCTGCCTCAGTCGCTAGCAGAATCCGTCAGTGGGCGTTTCTTAAATCTTTTCCAACATGAAAGTTGTTTGACACCCAGTCTCCTCCTACTCTCTCTGCGCGGAAGTCTTCTGCGCAGGGTGGGCGTGGGTAGCGGGGGACCAGTGCTCTCCCCGCTGGTGTCCGGTGAAGAGTCCTGGAGCCCTCTCGCCGATTCCACCATCAGCCCCTCCTTATCCCTGGTGTAGCGCTGATTTGCTTCCCCATCTGCGGAGCTGTCTCTCTCCCTGCTGGGCCCTTCTCCAGCATCATTTGAGAGCCTTCCCTCCGCCTCTAGCTCCGATGTCAGTTCCCTGACAGGTAGACCTGTATTAACACAACTGGACTGCCTGCCATGTATCGCAGGGAGATCTTCTGTATCCTCTTTTGTTTGGAAGATGTTCGGAAAATAAAATAAAATTCCAGCTAACCTTGGTGGGAAGAAGCCCTTTTGTTTTAAATGAATCATTCACAAAGTATACTCATCTCTAGATGTGGCTCTCTGAGGACTAAATGTTGTCATCAGATATGCACGCAGTCTCATTTTAATACACATTTCCCATGTGCAAGTGGGGTAGCATTCTCGATCGCACTTACAGCGCCGTGTCAGAAATCTCACTGTCCCTGCCCAGCCTGGTCCCAGTACTGTGTGATGTGTGGCTGATGATCATTAATGGTGCGCCTGTTGAAGAAAGATGTGCTTCTTTCTGTGATCTTCTGTGAATGCACAGAGCTGTGATGTGCACAAAGTTCCCCTGCCCATATTTATTTCGCTGCAGAAGGCTGCTCTGCTTACACAAGGCAATTTGTGTATATATATATATATATATTTCTTTGTTCATTCTGAATATTTATATCCCGCTGTTCAGCATGCAAGATGATCCCACAGTGGGTTGCCAGTAAAATACCTAACCCAACAACCCAACCCGCAGGGAACACATCAACAAACTCTAAAAATATAAAATAGCAGCAAGATAAATAAACTACACAGCAGCAGGCATAGAGGCCAATAAATCACCCACAGGGCTGTGCAAATAAATAAGTGTTTAATTGATGCCAACAACTTAAGAGTTGGCATTGTTTGGGTTTGCGAGGGAAGTTGAGGTGCCTGAGTGTTATGTATTGAAGTTCTCACCCTGGGCCAGCAGGGGGATACTGTAGATAGTTCAGGTCCACATATGCAAATAAGGGTTCGAAAGTGACGTTCAGTGATTGGATAGTTACAGAAAGTTGTTACAGTTACGTTGTACTGGAGCTCTATATAAGCAGGTTGGCTGAACCCTTCAGTTCAGTTCTGATCTGATCTGTGAATAAACAAGAGCTGTTTGGAGAATCGCTGTGTCGTCTGATATGTTCACCCACAACTTAACACTGAGAATACCCTTTCCTAGGTCACTGTATGTCTCACTGGAGGAAGAAGAGGGACCATCAAATGAGCAGCGCTTTCTGTGAAAGCGAATGGGAGAGCCTAGTCTCATTTAGTAATTTGTAATAGGACTGGAATCCCTCAGAGCAGATCCAGTCACCTGAACAGACTATGAAATAGGCCCGTTCTGCTTTAGGGTGTCTTGGGAGGAAAGATATCTACAACTTCCATCATCCCTATCTAATAGAACCCGTGGTCAGGGATGTTGGGAACTGTAGTCCAGAAACACCTAGAGGCACAAGTTTGGGAGACACTGCCTTAGTTCCCTCCCCTGAAGCCAAAGTGAAATTGAAATGACCACCTGCCTATCTGTGCCTCTCCTGCCTAGCTGTGCCTCTTATTCCCACCACTCCATTCTCTTTAGAGTCTGCAGTTCTTACCCATTGGGAACATGGGAGAAAGAGAAGGAAGTTGGCCTCAGAGGTACTGTAAAAGGAAAAAGAGAGCACAGCACCAGGTTGCCATATGTGTACATATGTGTACAAGTTTTGCTTACAGTCCCATTCAGCGCACCCATTCCCTCCCATCGAGAGAGGCTGAGTGTGAGCAGAACACAAACCTATATGCTTTCCATTTTTTCTGCAACCATTAATCTCCCAAAACCTGGATTCTCACTTAAAACCTATTAAACGTCATATGAAAGAAAGCTATGGCAACTGGGGGGTGGGCGGGTATCTGCTGGTGTGAATGGAGGCTGCCTGAGCATGCATATATGTGTGTGTGTTTTAAAAAGCATGGGTTCGTTTATGTAAAGCACCGTGGGTGGAAACAGCTATATAAAGAAAACGATCATAGCAAAATGCTCTAGTATTGTATCCTTGAAGATGGGAACAGCTTGGTAGTTGCTAAGAGCATTGTGGAAAGAGCTGTGGGAATCCACAGTTCATACCACGAAAGCTGAAAACATGTTACCGGTCTTAGAAAACGAAGCTGCCGCAAACTTGGTTTTAAATGTAACTGTCAATAGGCCCTGCGTGCTGGGAAGGGACCATAGAAGTGTACAAAGAGTTCCAAGGATTGTATGAATGAACTTAGTCCAGAGTAGCCCCCACGCCACAGTTGTTTCTGGTCATGTGGCAGGCTGCTGTTGAAAGGGGAAGAGTTCAACACATCCCACTGGGCGAGCTGAGCTGTAGCCCTTGGGCTATCCCAAAATAGCCCTTTGGATCCCTGGTGTCTGATTCGGTAACTCATCAACCTTCTCTTGAGTCTGGTCAAGTCTGAGTCTGGTTCAGTCATTCCTGTCAAACTATAGCTTGGTCATCAGGAACATCAGACTTGCATGCTAGGGGTGGGGGAGGAAAGACCATCATGCACTTTTAGCCTCATAAATTAATTTTAGGTTGACATGAGGTCTGAATCGGGTAACCAATCATCATTGTTTTCCCCAAAACCAGAAATGGAAAGCACTTCAAACCATGGTTCTGATTCTGGTTTGGAAGCAAACTATATCCAGTTACAACCATAGTTACTGGTCTGTCATGAAGGTAACAGCAAACTGTGGTTTACCCTGAACCAAGGATGTGCAGGAGGGCATTAACAACAACAATAATAATTTATTATTTATACCCCGCCCATCTGGCTGGGCTTCCCCAGCCACTCCGGGGGGCTTCCAGAAAAATATTAAAATACCGTAATACATCAAACATTAAAAGCTTCCCTAAACACAGAACACTGCTTACTCTAATAGGCTAGTGACTTGTTCACCAAATAAAGGTTGGCTTTCCTTTTAAGATGAAGGGTTGGCCAATCCTCACATGGCAAACCAAGCTCTAAATAAACTATTCATAGTTTCCCAGCTGGTGTCCAGGAAGTTGGAGTCTAACCAACCACATGTCTGTTTACATCCAATATATTACCAGCCTGGACTTGTGCAGAGGAAAGGCGCATGATTTCCCCACTGCATGCTTGGCATCGAAACTGGGGTCAGCCATAACATCTCAACTGGGCCATGGGTAGGTCAGATTTTGTAGGAGCCGTCCGATGAGTACAAATAGACATTCAAACTGGGGAGCAGAGGCGGGGGTCTTCTTTGGTGAGCAGCCTGGTATTGGAGAAGGAAGATTAATAGCGTGAAAAACGCTCGAGGAAGATCTGAAATAATGCTGCTCACGTGAGTAGACCCATCGGGATTTGCACCTTTTGGATGACAGACCTACTGTTATTGTTGAAGCATATATTTCAATGGTGAATAATATTGACAGCCACTGGGTCTGACTTTCTTACAGTGCCTGAAACAGTATGTGGAGATTTTGATCAAGGAAGGCTTAGAAACAGCCATTAGCTGCCCTGATGCCTCCTGCCCGAAGCGAGGTCATCTTCAAGAAAATGAAGTACGTTTCCTGACACAAATTTGTCTTACGTAAAAGTTCAGCTCAGTTGTTATTGCAGATATTTGTGCGTGTTGCCGTTATGTAACTTCTGCTCCAAGCTCATTGTCTATCTTTGCCTGTTATCCCTTTAGTTATCGCTATCATTAATCGGATGCTTGTATCTCTCTCTCTCTCTCGTTCTCTCTCTCTCTTTAAAACAGATTGAGTGTATGGTTGCATCAGAAATCATGCAGAAGTATAAGAAGCTACAGTTTGAAAGAGGTATACAGCAGACATCCCAGGTGGCCCCAATCTGGGGGTTGTAGCCAACTAAATTCCACTCACAGTAGACCCACTGAAAATAATGTGCCCATGTTCATTAACTTCAAAGGGTCATCTCTGAGCATGACTAACATTGGATTCAATCTCGTGTGTGGAAAATACATTTCCAAACCATGAGGAAGAGGCGCTTTATTTTTATTTTTTTTAACCATGCGGGATAGCTCCCCACGGAAATTCGAAATGTGCTGTCAATATTGTATTTCCAGCAGATGTTAAAAACTTACCTGTTCATCCAGGCATTTATTGATTTTGATTACATTCATTACCACCTATTGTAGACTCTGTTTTAATGAGGCTACAGATACTATTTAACAAGGTTCTTATTTATTTTTCTTATGTCTTCGTTATATGGTTGTACATCACTTGGAACATTTTATAAACAAATGGTATTTAAATTTATTTATTTATTAAACTTACTGCTTCCCGTTGATATTCCACAGCCATACCAAAGAATAAGATATTGGATATGATCAGGAATTGGCATTCCACTGTGTGTGGCTTGATTCAAGAAGAATTCTGCATCTTAAAAACTTTTGCCTTATGCTTGAGTCAAGCCATTGTCTTCCAAGGACAGGGATTTTCCAGCCCTACCTTGAGATGCTGTGGAACTGAACCCATGCAAAAGCATATTATATACATGCTCCTTCACTGAGCTGTGGCCTTTTCCCAACTGCAGTTTGTTTCCCCCACAGAAGTGCTTTTGGATCCTTGTCGGACTTGGTGCCCATCCTCTTCCTGCCAAGCGGTTTGTCAGCTTCAGGAATCAGGCCCCCAGAACCCACAGCTGGTACAATGCAAATCTTGCGACATAGAATTTTGCTCGGCGTGCAAATCCAATTGGCATCCGGGACAAGGCTGTCAAGAAAATATGCCAATCAGCTACCTTCCAGGGGAAACAAGGTATAGAACTGTACATTACCAATTGACGTTGGCATAATTCTTAACACATTAACAGCTTCGCTCAGCAGTTTTTTTTGTTTTGTTTTAAAAAAGACTGATTTTCATTGTGATAGCCTCTGGTGTCTCCTTATTCACCTGTTATTTGAAGCCGTTTCTCCCTCCCATCACAAGACTGAAGCAGAAAAAGCCCAACTCTGGCAGATAGATTGCCCTACTTCTGAAACCAGGTATATGCTAGGAATTCCTCAAGGTTCTGGAAGTTTTAGGATGTCACCTTGTCAATGTGGGTTACCTTTTGGACTGTGGCTCTATGCCCTGCTGCTTGGTAACAAGTCCATGTTCTGATGGAAATATTCCATACCATGGCTTTATCAGCACACCTGCGTTACTCAGTTTCCCTGTGGAATTCTAATGCTGCTGATCAGCATGAAAAAAGTCATGGAGCTGTCCACCATCTCAAGTAACATTGGAAGGAGCCCATAATTGTGTGCACAACTTAGCTCCCCGCCCCCAATTCCTAGGTTTATACAAATCAATTTTATACAAGCAATACTGGCAGATGTATTGTTAGTCAACCTGAATTATTTGAGGTTTGTAGACGCTATTAAAACTGAATGATAAAGATGAAGGATGTGTAGTTTCAGTGGAAACGAAAACCTGCCTTTGGTCTTGTGGCTGTGTGACAAATCCATGCAGACATAGGAATAGCTTCAGTCTGCAAAAGGGTCAGAGTGTTTTAAGAAATGCAGTTTTTAAAAACCAAGAGCATTTTGTCAAGAATGAGCCAATTCCAAGCGAAGGTTTGCAGTCAACTGCAGAAAGCAGCCAGGAACAGAGAGGCTTAGATCAGTGGTGGCCAAATGCTGCCCTCCAGCTGTTTGTGGGATACAGTTCCCATAATCCCTGACCGCTGGTCCTATTAGCTAGGGGTGATGGGAGTTGTAGTCCAAAAACAGCTGGAGGGGCTGAGTTTGGCCACCGCTGGCTCATATTGTACTTAGGCTGGGCGAAAACCACAGCAGACAAGGGTAACTCTTCCGGACATTGGAATGTTGGTTGCCAAGGGAACGACAGAGCGGGGTGGAACACAGCCAAAGCTCTCAGAAAGCTCAAACAGCTGCAAACAGAGACGGAAGCAGTCTGTCAGAACGGGAAGAGATTGGAGCTGATCCAATCTCTCCTAAAAGTCGTCAAATGGGAGGGCTGCTAGACAGGAAACAAAACGAGACAAGGTATGAAAGTTCAATATCTTCTGTAGAAACCGGAAGGTGTCTTCAGAAGGGTCATCTTGATTGATGATGCTTTGTTAGAGCCGTCCGGAGCTATTTGTTTGTTTTTGTAAAAAATTCTCCTTTTTAATTAACAACACTTACCGTGTTACCAAGCCGGGAACCTGGACTCACGACACATTTCTCCCATAAAATTTCCAAAACATCTCTTCCAGCTCTGCTTATAAAATGGAAGAAGATGATGCACCCATCAAACGCTGCCCGAAATGCAAAGTTTACATTGAACGGGACGAAGGCTGTGCCCAAATGATGTGCAAAAACTGTAAACATGCCTTTTGCTGGTACTGTTTGGAATCACTTGACGTAAGTATACGTAGTTGAGTTTAAGATTGGAAGATGAAATTCCTTGATTCTATCCCTGTAATAAATTCCTGTTAATAAAGCATTCAAAATGTCCATTGATATAATATTCAAAAACTGTAAAGGGAAGCATTGAAATGTTACAAGTCCCAGAAAGTTAGGTTGCCTCTGTAGACATAAATACAGAGACATAAATACAGACTGTGGCATACATTTAGCTGTACTGCAGCAAACAATTAGCAAGGTACCATTGCATGAACTAATATTGTTACAAAAAATTAGAGTTTGTATATATTTATGGCATAAAAAGCCCCATCATCTGGGACAGAAGTGACATTTAGGTTGGAGTTACTTTGGCCATATCAGAGTTTAGGCTTTGGCTTAGCTGCTGTTGAAAGCAAATTTAGCTTTGTTTTAGAGATACATTTTTTGTTGCTAAATTTAGGGCTGTTTCTGGGTGGTGGTGGTTTTGTGAATTCTTAATATGATGGGCTGCTTAATCTTAAGTTTTCATACTGAATGTTTCGATGCAGGATGTTAAATGTTGATTCTCTGCTGCTGTAAACTTTGTTGGTATAGTTTTTGTGCTTTTTTGTTTTTAAGCAATGAACTGTTTTGAAAAGTTAGGGTTACATTTTTTGTTACATAATATTGTTTTACTGTTATACCGATGATGGCACTTTGGGCATGGTTTAACTGCAGAAAAAGAGCACAAGAACAAACCCTGAAATGGGATGAACTGGGGAAGGGGTCTTATTTGTACTATCTCAGTTTGGGCATACAGTGGTACCTCTAGTTACGAACTTAAATCGTTCCGGAGGTCCATTCTTAACCTGAAACTGTTCTTAACTAGAGGCGTGCTTTTGCTAATCAGGCCTCTTGCTGCCGCTGTGCCGCCCGCACACGATTTCCATTCTCATCCTGGGGCAAAGTTCTCAACTCGAGGTAACTCTTCCAGGTTAGCGAAGTTTGTAACCTGAAGCATTTGTAACCTGAGGTGTTTGTAACCCGAGATACCACTGTATTACCTTTTCCTTCTCTTGTCTTTCTTTAAGTTTTTTTGTTTTTGTCTTTTAAACTCCTCCTGGCATTAACTCACATCTCTGAAAGGGCTGCTGCCAATTTTGTAGATTGCACAATGGCCCACTTCGGCCTATTTCTGTGAAATATGTGTTATTGGGTTCCACGGCGCCCTTTCTGCGGTTAATATTGACTTTGCGCTCCGTGCCATAGAGGTGAGCGGTCTGACTCATTTATGCTGGCTGTTAGCTGCTCCCTGTTCCAAAGGAGCCAACTCAGTGATGTCATTGCTGTTGGCACAGCAGCGGAATCCATAGCTTGTGACGTTGCCATTGCATTGTGATGTGCCAAAAGTAGATAGGGAAAAAAATGAAAATTGACCTCTGCGAGTGAGGGCGGAAAAACAGGGAGAAGTACCATTCACTCCTCTCTCTCTCTAGCCTGTGGCAGGATCCTAGAACTGCAGTCTTCTGCACATTTACTTGGGAGTAAGCTCTGCTTGCTAAACCCAGTAGGACTTATTTCTGAGTACACAATTGGACTCCCAATCGAAGTTATTCAGCCCTCATCACAAATCAGGTTTATTACCAAAATTTGCAGACTTTCAGCTGTTTGCTGAAAACAAGAAGCAATTGAAATAGCTCAACCCAACGGGTGCTTCAAGTAGTTTCCGAAAATTCAGCTGAAATTGCAACCGTACCTGCTAAGTGGAAAGGTTTTGTAACCTTTTGACTGCTTGTCAAGAGTGAAGTTCTCAACTACGGCTGAAATAATATATATGCATATTTCCCCTCTCCTTTTATTGACACTTTACAGGATGACTTCCTTCTTATACATTATGACAAGGGACCTTGCCGAAATAAGCTTGGTCATTCCAGGGCATCAGTTATTTGGCACAGAACGCAGGTAGGTGTCGATGTGACTTTGCGTATCTGCTGGTCCCCGTCCCCCCCAATTTTCGTCTTATTCATGAAAAAAGTGAATGTGGGGAATTGGGAGTCAGAGGAGGGAAAATGGCATGAGGAAAATGGGAAGGTTTTAAAAAGCAATGTTAGCTGGCTTGCCTCACATACAAGTATTGCTGATGAAAGCTGATCTGAGGTGCAGAAACAATAGTTCCTCTTCGAGGTGGAGAGACTACAGAGTCACGTTCCAGGAAAATAGAGGCAGTTACCCAACTTGCAGTGAGGTGGAGAGTAAGGTAAAACTGCGTCTCAGTCAGTTATTCTCTGTAGTTTCTGTGGGTCTGTAGCTGCTAGATTTCTGCTGGGCAGAAACAAAACACCCTGAGAGCTGTTGCAGGATTTACAGACATCAGTCCGCAAACCCAAGATGACATAATTTGATCGAGGTGGCCCACAAGACAGATTGATAGCCGTTAAAACCTACCATGTTTATTTTGACATAGAAGAACCTTGGAAGAATAATATTAAAAGAGCAACTGAGCTTTTATTACTACAGCAGGCATGCTGTTGCAATGGGGAGCTGTGTTGCTCATGCCAGAATTACACTTCAGAGATGATGTATAGCAAGAGATTGCAGAGAGGGAAGCAGACATATTTTTCAGGGGATGCGGGGGAAGCCCATGTTAAGCACAATAATAAATTCCCCACTCCACAAAAATATAAATATTTGAGGAATTATTGGGGGGGGGGAAGGGAAATGAAATGAAAACCTCCAAATATACTATTATATAATACAGTAAGTAATGCATGCCATTCCTTATTTTGAATGTTGTTCAACAGTACCACCTGCTGGCCAAAAACAAATTGACTTTTTCAGGACCAATAAAGAGAAAGTTAAATAATCTGAATCTGAAGCAGAAAGAAAGAAAGATGGCTTTTTTCCCATAAGAAAAACCCTCCATCCAAATCATCCCTGTTTAACTTAAGACAGTTATGTTAATGGATGTATTACGTCAAATGCTAAAGGCTGCACCTGTTGTACTTTTCTTTAGCTGGACAATAATTGGAACCATACTTTTCAAGTGGGTCAGCAATTTGGAGATTTTGATCCTCCATGGAACTGAATCCTTAGATGCATATTGAACAATACCCTTCTGAATCCCATGCCTCCTCATAGGCTACCCTGGGGAGTGCGTAATTCCATGGATAAGCTCAGGGCCTTTCATGAGACAGGTGACAGGGGTGCAAAACAGTTGAAATTGCAGTTGCCAGCCCTTTATTTTGTGTGTGTGTGTGTGTGTGTGTGTGTGTGTGTGTTGCAACAGTGTGCAACCCCTTGCCACAGAACAGTTTGAAAGGGGGCAGGGAAAACTCTCCCCCAGTCCCCCTTCAAGCAGATTATTGATCTTCTTTCTTTTTCTTTTTTATCCAGGTCGTGGGGATCTTTGCAGGGTTTGGTCTGTTACTGTTAGTGGCCTCCCCTTTCCTTCTGCTTGCTACCCCATTCGTGCTTTGCTGCAAGTGCAAGTGTAGTAAAGGAGACGACGACCCCCTCCCGACTTAAGGTGGAGTGAAAGTAGGACTGGCTCATCATCGCAGTGCATTTCCTACTCACCCACCCTGTTCTTGCACTTGACATTGTGTTGGCCTTACTCGCCCTGATTCCCAACGTTGCAGGAGACAGGAGGCGCCACGATTCCCAGCGACTTTGCCCGCAAGTCGGTTTACAGAGTGCAAGGCATATCCTGGTGTGTTTTTTTTGGTGGGGGGGGCAGCGCGAAGCAAGCTGGGACGTCGGAAACATCATGTGTCAGTAACGCAAGGCTACGTTGGCCGATTTGGAACTGAGACGCTCCGGTGTCGAAACAAAGCCCGTTCAGCATATCTATTTGCATCAAATTGAGGTGTTAGACATGTGTGTTTTAAGAATCGCTTACCATTAAAAAACAACAACAAACAGCCCATTTTAAAGTGTGACTTTAAATATCTTGTCTAATGAAACTGAAGTCTCTGTTAATATTTGCCCTGGGAAAATATTGGGCATCCATACACCCCTGAAGCTGTTTCCCATGCAATATTATAAGAACAATCTGGTCACGTACGTATAGGCCAGGAATGTTTGAGGGTGGGGGCTGCTGCAGCCCTCCAAGCCAATGTTTCTGCATCCCTCATGCCACCAAATTTGGTAGTGACACTAAAAAAGTAGACACAGCCTGGGGGATGGGGATTGAAACCTTTCTGCCCACCCCAGCACCAGCTAGGGATCCCCTTTTCCCCATAATGGGGAATTGGATAGGATTGAGCTGTAGCCCCCGCTTCTCAGCTGATCTGCATGCGTATGTGTGTTGTCCGTGAGCATGTGAGAGTATGGGGGGGGGGCGAGCTGCACCCGCCGCTGGCATGGAGGGTTAGCAAAGTGTGAATGCATCTATTAAAAAAGGTTAGCCACCCCTGACATGCGGCATCCTATGCCTATATCTTTTCAATAGGATGCCTCCTAACATTTTGGGAAATGTGAACTATTTGTGTGGATGCACATTTGTTCTTTGGAACAGAAAAAGAAATTGCCAACCATAGAGGCTGAGATACACAACCCAGACCTGCTATTATTATCAAGGCTCTTTTTTTAAAAAAAGATGTTGGTATTCCTTTTCTTTGAAAGTCTGTCTGACATTCTTTTCTACATCTCTCTCACCCGTTACGTGGCTACGTGTTGCATAAATAGGGCTACCTCTGGTCAGGTATCTTTTTATGTACCTATATGTCATTTTAAGCCAAATAGATCTTCTCCTGAATAGAATGAAGAGGGAAGAAGGAAAGAGTGTAGTATTGAGCCTTACATCCATCTCAGTGCATGAGATGTAAATTTATTTGTACAATCATTTCCACCCTATAGAGTATGCAGATTTTTAGGCTCTCTTGAGTTTGCTTTGTTTTCACTTTTCTTTAATTAATGCAAGCGCCCGCAGTTGTAATAATATAAAGAGTCCGTTGAGACTGATAGGTTTTCCAGTTCATTTTTAAAACTGTTATATCTTGTGCTGTATGATACTGTGACAACAAACATTTAGTTCTGTTTGTTTTTAAGCAGCCCTCTCTCCCCACCTTCGTTTTTCTTTGTTTATCATTTTGCTGCTCTGTTTGTTGTCCCGGGTCTTGCCTAAATTGAGGTGCTGCCATTATCCTGAAGGAGAATGATGTGGACATCAACTTACTATATCAATAGGCTACTCTATGTGATTCTTCCGTGCTGCTTTGGGTGAGAACTGTAAACAAACTCTCCTAAAAGCACATAAGTTTCCATAGTAGGAAAAAGTATGAGTTGAAAATGTAGTATATAATCAAAATGAAACGTGATCCTGAAGAATGAAGACAATGGGAAATCTTTTGATCCCTGTGCAATGACAGTGAACAGGAGCTAGGCCTACATCTCAGGTAGGTGACAACCAAAAATTTCCAGGCATTAAGTACACAGCAGTGGGGATTGGGCAGGTAGCTTGTGAATCTAATGTACACCTGGTTCATGCTGTTCCCCACATGCCAAATAATCGATCCATTGATTGCAGGAGGGAAAGGAACCTGTTCTGTCTATCTTTGGACCTTGTTTTATATACTAATTCGCCCAACCAACAGCATCATACGTTGCTGTGAAGGTACCCCCTCAGACATCAAGTGAGGATGGTTTGCCTGCTCCTGTCAAGTTGCACAGGCTGTTATGTATGGAAACACTTAGTCCTCTGCTGTGTTTTCAGCTATTTAGCTTACAAAGTTAACAAATTCACTGCCTGGCTCTCCCATTTCTCACCCTTTCAAATAACGATGGAGCTGAGGCAGTGAGCATCCGTGAAAAGTGGAAGAGACCTGCTAAGGTGGGCACTCGCTTTTGTTCTCTCTGGTTACCTCAGGTTGCTGACTGCTACTTTGTTTTGTGTGTGCTTGCATGTGGGTGAGTACAGAACCTCCAGAGGTTCAACCATCCATCTGATGCCATCAGACAACAAAAAAATCCAAAGTTGCATCACACTAGAAGCAAAACGGCGTTAGAGGCATACTTCTTTACTTGCCTTCAGGTTGCAGCCTCCGTCTTTGGAAGCCATGCTGTTCCTAACATATCACATCCTCAAAGAATACTTCGATGAGGGGGGGAAACCTCCTTTAACATTAAACCAGACACTGAAATCGCTTTTGCATCCTGCATATCAGACACATCACACTGTGTTTTAAGTTTGGGTCCTTGCTTAGAATCAAGTAGTTGCCATTTGTTGGGAATCACATATTTTGACTGTCAGTATTTCTTTGAAATGGGTGTCTGTGAGTGATATAACATGAACTTATTTAAACTTTAAATTTCAAGCCTCTGTAGAGGAACATCAGATATTAGCATTTTTATTCTCATTCTAATGAAGGGTGGACCTCATCTCCTGGTATCACTTGTATTTTATTTCTGTACTGTTGCTGCTTTTAGTGCATTGCCTTAAATCCCTTTTTAATGGACATAATGTGTTTTCTTTTGGACAATACTGATGTAAAGCTCATTCCATGGCCTAGGACAGGGGTCTGCAACCTTTAAGACAAAAAGAGCCACTTGGACCCGTTTCCGAAGAAAAACAACAACTGGGAGTCTCAAAACCATTGTGACATTTAAAGCATGCGCGCCACTGCCCTCCGATCTGACAGTGGGCGGGAAGGTGACATTGGGACGGTGCGTGACTAACGCACGCACCGCCCCCATGCAACGTCACAGCCAGTACAGCGCCCGCCACAGTGGGGAGTGTCGGGGCGCACAATGCGCCTCCTCCCCTCGCTAGTATCCGCCCCGGAGCCGCGGCAAAGGTGTAAAAGAGCCACATGCGGCTCCGGAGCCGTGGGTTGCAGACCCCTGGCCTAGGACGTTCAAACCCCTACCAGCTGACCTGGGTTATACTTCTACACACGCTAAAATGAGAGCAGCAACTAGCAAAATGTTCTGCTACACCTGCTCCCTAAACTTTAGACCAAACTCCAGTGTATGCCAAACTGAGCTTCACCCATGTGGGGCAAGTCATTTTGACTGCATCATTCCTCACCCACCTATAAACAAACCTCATTTTGCAGGTGTCTTGTGTCTTTCAAGCTTCTTTGGGAAGCACTTGGGGTACAATTCTAGTTGTCTTCACCTTCAACCCTTGTACCCTACAAAGTCACCATTTTTCTAGTGTTGGGCATGGCAGTGTTTTAGATAATGTTTTATTCTGTGTACCTTTGGGCTGCAAAAAAATAAATAAATCAGAACTATTTAGACCAATTCTTCGTATGCAATGAATGGTCTAGTGTAGTTAGCACAATATCTTTTTGTCTGAAGCAGAGCGACAGAAATTTTGGACATATGAACCATGTTAAGAAATATATACATACAAATACTTGTTTGCAATTGTAAATATTTGGCTGGGAGAGAAAGTAATAGTTTATTTCCTAGAGCTGTTTCCTCTATGGGTTTGGGTTTCTGAATTACTTGATCTTCTTTGCAATATCACACCAATGCATTGGGAATCCATCATTGTTCCATTTTTGATTTTCAGACTTTGTTCATGCTGCTATACATGCACACAATGTGTCACAGTTTTCAGTTCCTGCTCATTTGTTTTTAATGAACATGAGTGCATATACATGCTTGTTGATTTCTCTTTTTTTTTTAAGTCCACCTGAGGCAGTGCTATGACTGCACTAAGATCCTTTGAAGGCCTTTTTTTTATCCATACTTCAATTTAAGTAACCTGTAGGAGAGAGGGTGGTACAAAAAAAAGTGAAATGAAAACTGCAGCAAATTCCAAAAATAATGTTGAAAAAAGTCTTAAGTTGAACAAGAAAAAAGGGTGAGGGAATGCAGGACAGAGCCAACCCATGGAACTCATCTCTGGTTTTGTGTGTGTATATCAAAGCTCTTGAGGGACGCGGGTGGCGCTGTGGGTTAAACCACAGAGCCTAGGACTTGCCGATCAGAAGGTCGGCGGTTTGAATCCTCCGGCGGGAAGGTAAACGGTGTTTCCATGCGCTGCTCTGGTTCACCAGAAGCGGCTTAGTCATGCTGGTCACATGACCCGGAAGCTGTACGCCAGCTCCCTCGGCCAGTAAAGCGAGATGAGCCCCGCAACCCCAGAGTCGGTCACGACTGGACCTAATGGTCAGGGGTCCCTTTACCTTTACCTTTACCTTATCAAAGCTCTTTGGCCTGGTTAGCTTTACAAAGAGATTTCTCCCAGGGACTCTACTGAAGATGGACATTAATGGAATTAGTTGATGGTGATGGCATTAGGGATTTCCAAACAGCTTGTAATCATGCTTACTTACTAATACTCTTCCATAAAGTAAACGCCTGCCATTTGTGTTTAAAGCCCCATGATGGTTCTGGCTTTGTTAATGTGTCTATCTTTCTTAACAAAGATGAGGAACCTTTGGTACAGGTATAGGTATGTGCCCTATAAACAAATCCCTCCCTTACTCATTTTACCATGGGTGTATTTTTAACCTTGTATAGAGAAGCACGGAGGAGTCATGCATATGTATAAATGATGTATTTGACTAGTGTAAAAAGAATTTAATTTTTGTTTTCTGTATTTGAAATGTAACTACATTTCGTGCCACTAACACTGTGATGTATAAAAGAGCTGTTGAATGCCTTTGAATGTTGTTTTGTACTTCGAATCATATTGAAGAGTTTTATTTGTAATTTCAATAGATATTTTAAATGAACCTGTCTCCTGTCAGAAGTTTGTTTATTCCCCCCTTCCCTCTCAGCATAATAGCCTTCTCATGGGCTTGTTCTCAATGAGAAGTCAACACAAAGTGATTATTTTTTCAGGGCTATGCTTTGGATGTTTTCAACTGCAAGAGAAAAACACATTTAAGATATGCATCCTGGTCAGCAATAAGCCACAGGGGCTACTGGTTTGTTTCAGCTAAACTATTTTCTTCCATCACATGCAATATGTGCTTCATCTGGCTGGCTGCTTGCAAGAACAGTACAAAGAACCATCCACCATGGAACTGAGCAATGATAGAGATTCAGCCACCAGAATCTCTATCAGCAACTTTAGCTGATGGAGATTCTGGTGGCTCCAAGTCCTTTCTGTTGTTCCCAGTCAACCCATATCAGAGTGACAAGATTTCAATCTTGCCCAATGTTTCACTAACATCCTACTTGCTACTTCTGCTCCACATAACCCAACCATCTCAAATTGGTGAAGAAATAATATTTCAGTGTCAAGCCTGTTCACAGTCCTGCGGCTGTCAAAAGGCCCGGTTTAAACTTAAAAGCCTGGGGTGTTTCCAATGATATTTTGTCCCAAACTAACCCCTTGCCTGTAAGCAGGGCCTGGTTGCCCCCTCCCCAACCTGGCATGCTTTCTCCCTGTCCTTCTATACAGGCTGATTTTGTATGTGTCGTCCCCACTTCTATATTTATTTATTTTTAGAAAAAGAGGTGCCGGAACTCACCGTGAATGCCTCCCTTGTTCTCTTATAATGGCAATGGTGCCCAACTGAGAGGAGCCAGAACAGTTCCAGCTGGGGGAAAAAAAAAAAAGGTGGTCATCCCTATGTTTAATCCTCAATCACTCAGTTGATTTTCCATTGGGGAATAAGTTGTATCTATCTTTGAAGCTTGCAGCACTGGATTATTTGTGTGCAGGATCACATTTTGACAGGAAGATGAGCATGGGCACAGTGACGACAAGTATGCCTTAACTGCCAAATCGAGATGAAATTATCATCTGAACTCACACGGTCCTTTTTCTTCTTCTTCCTGGAATCAAAACGCAATCATTACTGCTTTTTCCCCATTAACAAATCTCTGCACAAGAGGCACCGCAAAGCAACTTAAAATGAAGAACCCTTAGGATCGTGTAACGACTTTTGTATAGTAAATTGAGAGTTCAACCTGTGCCTTTGGAGATGTAAACAGAAACGAGGTCAAAATGCCAGGATGCTCAAGACAGCCATAAGATTTGCAGACATCTCCCTGGAAAACGCTTCAGGTGATATCTAACCCGAGGAAGAATTCGTAGTCACTTGCCTGTCACTCCAGCCCTGTCTCCCAAAACACATTTTGCCCCATGCATTCATATATCTGGTAAGCTGGAATGATAGTGGCCAGGCACACAAGGTTTCCCTTCCCTCCTCCATCGCCCTGACCTACTGGGTAGCAGTGTGCCAGCATTTAAAGCCCAAGTGACTGTCAGAAATTTACCCAGGAGGGCTGGGTAAGTGTAAGTATATTGGCTTAGAAAAATTATTAGATTTCCTTGTTTCCCCAGGGAAATTCATCATTTCCACAACAGCACCTTTGAGAAGTGATTCAATCTGTTATTTGTGTACACTTATTTGTGAAGATGAATTGACCACTCTAGTGCTATATCAAGTTTAATTTAAAATAAGAAGAATAAAGGAAGATGTGAAAAGAACAGCCTTTTTGTTTTCAAGCTATGGATAAATAAGGCCTGCCTAGTTTTCACCTCTAAACGGAATGCAGCCTACCAAACATATATTCACACTGTAAACATTTTTTTAAAAATCTGCTTTGCAATCTCAGGCAAGCCATTAAAAGCAAGTTTATTGAACCGCTAGTAGCCCCCAGTTTTGATATGAGTTGTATTCAGCCTGGTTGGGCAACTGTTGAACAGGTCTCAGTTCAATCAAACCCAATAGATACACAATGAGGGGATTTTTTAATGAATATTTGGCAAGTAAAATGTTTTTAAAAATTAAAAAATGTGCAGGTATTAGCATGAGAGTGTAATTTTTGCCTTTATAATAAATACTTTGTCTAGCCATGCTAGAAAATGTGAGCTACCAACAAAAAGATTTCCAGGCAAAGACCACCATGCATACATTTTATTCTTCAGTAAATGTTGGTTGTTCATCCTGAAAACTGAATGGCTAAAGGCCCAACGATTGTTACTTTAACGATGCAATTCTGCCCGTTTCTTTTACAAGCAAGTGGGTTTTTAAGCATCTCATATTTTCACTTATTTTGCTAGGAAACCAGCAGGGCGCACTCTTTACACACATTAAAGTATGCCAAACAGCTTCCTTGATCAAATATTTAGCATGCATCACATAAGAAACAAATTTATTGTAGTGCAGATCCACTAAACATTATTTTGTGTGATAAACATTATCAGTGATCACTTAATCCTTGCTGACAATGAGGCAGGCACATGCTTAGGCCGCTGCAGAATATTGTTAATTCGTATTTTATTGCACATTAGCATGCTCTGTTTTAGGAAAAAATACACAAATGAAAGCGAGCGGGATATTACTTTAACTGAGGTCAAGCACACAAGCACTTTTTGCTTAAGCTGGAAGTGTTCCAAGATGAGAAAATATTTATTGGAATAGAAGGAGATAAGTATACAACCTTTAGAAGACATCTGAAGGCAGCAGGGAAGGGTTTTATTTTTTAAAATGTTTAATGTTTTACTGTATATTGGAAGCTGCCCAGAATGGCAGGGGCAACCCAGCCAGATGAGTGGGGTACAAATAATAAAATTATTATTAATTATTATAAGGCTTGGTGGTGGTGGTCTAAAATAGATTCATTGTGGGGGGAATTGGGAGCAGGGTTTTTACAAACACAACTATAATGGAGCAACAAGATTTAAAATGGAATGTGCAGCCGCAGCAGAAGCGGATTCAGGGGACAAGAAATGTGTGTGTTTTTTTCTTTCTGAGGTAAAACATTTTACTTTTAGTATGTAAAGAATGGCAACCTTCTGAGGTAAAATATTGGACCATGAAGCATGACGATAATGGGAGTTACCACAGTGAACCCTTTTTTTAGTACTACTTTCCACCAGCTAACAAATTCCCAAACCCCAATAATCCATTAATTTGACTTTGTGGTGCCGCATCCACAGCCAAAGGAGATGCGTGAGGACACCCATCTCTTTCCATATCTGCTGCCCCTCCCAGCCCTCCCAAGCTTCCTGTTTGAGGCAACTGCCTCAGCAATACAAATGGTCAGGCCGGCCCTGAAAGGATGGAGACTTGTGGCCCTCCTGATGTTGTGGGACTCCAACTCCCCACAGCTTCAGCCAGAATGGTCAGGGGGGATGGGAGTTGTAGTCCAGCAACATTTGGAGGGCTACAGGTTCTCAAAACATAGTCTATGCTAAGAGGTTTTTGTTGCTCTCCTCAAATGGAAGAGAAGAAATGGCTGGGTATGCTTCAAGAACCAAACAAGTTACTAACTGGGCACAGAATTGAAAAGACAAACATGGTAGAAACAATATGCCTGCTTTAAAATTGGGAGTGGTAATGGAATAATTCCAGCCTTCTCCTACCAAAACACAGTGAAGTACCTTTCATTCTTTGCTCATTGCCCATCAGGTATACATTTGCTACATTTCTTCCCCTAGGCTCAGAATTTACAGATGAGATCCAAATGTGCACATGGACACTCAAATCAATAACATTTTATACATATTCCGCCTAATATTTCATGTCCGTGGGTTAAAGCCAGGCTTCCAACCTGTAGCAGAGACATAAAAAGAAGCCATATGTCTGCACTTTGAATATTTATAAGTGCTCAATCACCCCTTTGTTCTTACGGTTCTGGGTGATCTTTATTATTTTAAGAGCAATTAATCACGTTAAATGTAAAGTAATGCCTTCGATTCGAGCATCAGGATGAGTGCTTTGATGATGGCCTTGTACTCAAGTTGTGCCTGCTAATAATTTTCTCTCAGCTGTCTCTGTGTAAGAATTATTGCTGGCACTTATCTCTTCCTGAACATTTCCACAGACTGAGCTGGTATTTTATTAGCGTACAGGGAGGGGATGATCACGCTGTCAGCATTAACACATTTTTGGTAAAGCACTTGCTCTCCAAGGTATTTCAAGATAAAAAACCTCATTTTATTCTTGTATTTAAGTTTCTGCTTTTTGTCTGAAATGCAAACTGCTAAATAAGAGAAACTCTTCAAGAGCGAGAGTTGTGAGATCGAGGAAAAGCCCAAAGGAAAGGAACATGGATAGGGTTTTTTAAAAAAATAAATACATAAATTGGGCATGATCCAAACTCTGCAGGCTTAGACGCAAACATGGGATTCCTCCTATATAGGAAGTGCCTGTTTGCATCTGCGGTGAGCAATACTCTATGCATTCAATGTGAAATCTCTGTACAGACATGTGCGCAAGACTCTTTAATAGTATAGTGTCTCTTAAAGAGAAATGTGTTTGATGGCACCTTGAGACCGATTTTTAATATGCTTCTATTACAAATTGGCATGGCAGGCAACCACCTGCTTCTTCAGATGCTGAATTGGAAATGGGGAAAGAAAAAAAGCCAGTTAAAAACAAATCCAGATAAAGCATTCAAAAGTTCTTAAAGGGACAATACTAAATACAGTGGTACCTCTGGTTACAAACACTTTGGGTTACAGACTCCGCTAACCCAGAAGTAGTACCTCAGGTTAAGAACTTTACCTCAGGATGAGAAAAGAAATCGTGCGGCGGTGGTGCAGTGGCGGCGGGAGGCCCCATTAGCTAAGGTGGTACCTCAGGTTAAGAACAGTTTCAGGTTAAGAATGGACCTCTGGAACGAATTAAGTTCGTAACCAGAGGTACCACTGTAGTGCAAGTTATGCCACATCTTTATAGTGTGGAAAGAAACCATAATCTCTGTTAAACCCAACAGATTAATATAGTTCCATTTCTGGATGAACTTCTGTCCACATATTTTTGCATTTCATGT